GGAACTTGGATGCTGGCTTGTGCTAGAGATGAACAGGAAAGAGGGAATCTCTATTGGGCTGCCTGGATATTTGATAAGTTTTGATAGCAGTTATTGTCCTTGAATATTTCTTTCCCAAATATTTATTTTGCACAGAATAGAATTCACAGTTAGTAACAAGTTCACACATAACGTGAAATAATATTGTGCTGTTTGGGGCTTTGATCCCATAGTTCAGTGATGGCGAACCTTTTAGAGACCGACTGCCCAAACTGCAACCCAAAACCCACTTATTTATCGCTGGGTGCCAGGTGGGCGTGGCCCACTGGGTTGGCATTGCTGTGGTGGTCATGGCAGACTGGATGGGTGTGGCCAAGGTCACCTTGATGTTGCTTATGGGGAGGGATGCCTGTGGGGGCCAGGCAGGGTTGGGGGAGATCCAGGGGGTCTCTGGCAGGTGGGGTGCTGGGCAGGTTCATTTTGCAGGGTGAGGTGAGGCAGGGTGGGGGTGCCATTGTCGCAGGGCAAGGCGAGGTGGGCCGGCTGCTGCCTGACACCATCGGCCCCCGCACACAGAGGCCAGCGAGTGCATGGGGCCGACAGTGTCCGTCAGCAGCAATAGCCTGCCGGCCCCTCAACCGGCGCACTCTGGGGCTCTGCAGCCCGCCACCAGTAATTCAGAGAAGCCGCCTCTGAGCTGGAAAGCCGGCCGACAGCTGAGGAGATGATGCAGTGAGTCGTGCCCAGGAAAAGGAGAGCATGCGAGGCCAGGAGGGATGGGACAGTGGGGAGGGAAACCAGCCCTGCTGGGATGCATCTGACCACGTGGGACCTCGGCGAGTTAGAGGGCAGCTGGTTGATGGTTGCCATCTCCAGGGCATGGCACGCGTGCCCACAGAGAGGGCTCTGAGTGCCGCCTCTGGCACGTGTGCCATAGGTTTGCCACCACTGCCATAGTTTATTGATCACTCATCATTCTAAATTATAAACCATGTTCTCAAACTTCAATGAATGCATTCATACATTCTGCTAAGCCATATTATTGTTTTGTCTTAGATTAGTATAGGTTCTAAAGTTAGCCGTTTATTGTTATTTCTGGTTTATTTAACCACCCACGGTTATGGTTAAAAAAAAAAAAGACTGCTACAGTGGATAGGGCCACTCCCCAATCACCAATTTACTAGTAATTGTTGTTCTTGCCACATCTTTCTTGTATGGGCAGATGTGCATATTTACCAAACTTTGGGTTGTAGCCAATTCCAATCTGTATTTTATAGTAATGCCTAAGGCAGGTGCGTCCAACCTTGGCAACTTTTAAGACTTGTGGACTTGGAGAATGGACTTCAACTCCCATGCTAGCTGGGGAGTTCTGGGAGTTGAAGTCCACAAATCTTAAAGTTGCCAAGGTTACACACACCTGGCCTAAGGAGAATCCAGGAATATACTTGGGGTTTGATTACCACAGTGGGTGGAAGGAGAACAAAGGTCATGACTTGTTAATATTTGGGAACTAGACTAGTACAAGAGGTGAATCAGTGATATTAGAAATAAGTCATAGAATATACTTACTCAAGTTTCATAGAGCTCAGAAATTCTAATCCAAGCTATGGAGACCTATTTTTTTAAATATACTGTTACTGAAGATTTTTTTTAATGATAAAGAAATACAAATATTAGAAAAGAAACACAGGAATTAAGAATAGTGAATAAGCGAGAAAGTGAAAAATGAAAAAGGTTATAAAGATGTAGCTTCCAATCCGTTTGACAGTGGTTATAAATGTGTTTATATTTTACCCTCCCTTTCTCCAAGGGCACATCATAATTTCCTTCTTTCCATAAGCAATCCTTTCTAATCCTCAAACCCATAAATCACATTTTTTCAGCAAATAGCTCATAAGGGTTTTACAGTCACTGATAAATATAGTAGATCTTTTTCAAATGAAACAAATTAATTTTGGCTGCCATATTTCCAAGAATCAGAATGATTTTGATCTTAAGGTTGGTTAGCGCCTTGAAGGCCCCCCCTCCAGCCTTAGCTTTAAATTATTCTATCCTTGTTTTAAATGTCTCATTTTACTGAAATATTATAATTTTATATGGTTTCAGAGTTGCTTTGTGAGTTAGATCACTAAATTAAATATTTTAAATAAATGCATCTAGAGTAGCTTCAACAACCAACCGGTATGTACAATACTATGAACTGATAAAAGAGTTTAATTATTTTTTCAGTCTCTTCTGACCTTTAATCCTGCTGATGATTTGCAACTCATCCAGTAGAAAACTGAAGGCAGGGAATATTGCCCTATTATTGCTAATGGAGACAAAATAACACCACTGTCCATCCCCTTTTTATTGTACAATTCCTGATCAAAAGTGAAGGCCGGTCATAATGGCTGTGTTACACATGTGATGCTTATGCAAGACAGGCTTCTGGCAAATTGTTCATGTCTGAATCATCTTGGATTGAATCTATATAAGCTTTTCATGAGCAGCACCTGTGGCAGATTTCTGATACAGCATCAGGAAAATAGTGGGTCTTCTTCAAAGCTGAGAATTGTCTCTGGCTATTTTGCTAAAGGGCATTTTCTGAACAAAATGTTGTTTGGCATTTGTTCCTGCTGGCAGAGTAAAAACTCAGTTCAACCCTTTATTTCCTCACTATTTCGACCAGTGAGCAATGTATTTGTCACATATTGCCATAATCAGCAATATGTGGTTGTACTCATCAACTTAAATTGTTATATATTCTTATTGCAGAGTACTTGGTTATACACTTGCCACAAACATTTTAGCATAAAAGGAAGCTATTACTACAAGACATCTGTTGGTAATGCCCAAGGTTGTACAGTGTTTAAGATTTTCATATTTAAGTGGATGCTCTCCAAATTTATTGGACTACAATCCCCATATCAGATTGACTGACAGTGATGGAGGATATAATCCACCAGAACTGAGACATATTCAACATTGCATCTTGGTGTATCTTGTGCAAAAAGGAATATTTGACAGGAAAAATGCTATAAAAAGAAATCTAGGGCTGCTAGGACCCCAGAAGAATAGCTGTGTACAATTTAAGAACTATCTGCTTGGCATTTAGTTCCAGACTATCTGCAAACAGTTCAGATCTTTCTAAGGTGCCTTGGTTTGTTTGTAAGCTTTCTGCATCATCTGCTAAATTCATGCCTAATTCTGATTTGTATGCTACAGTACTTAAATCAGCTTCTTGATTATTTGGAGGCATTAGGCCTACTATGTTCTGACTTCCAATACAGCTGCTAGGATAGAAACAGAGTAACAGAATAACAGAACTGAAAAGGGACCTTGGAGGTCTTCTAGTCCAACCCTCTACCTATTCTGTCCCAGCCTACGTCCGTCCTTGTTACGTCACAAGAACAAACCCCTCTTAAACAGTAGGCTGGGAAAACCAACCTCTTTTTATTTCCAAAACAGTCCTGATAAGTTTTTCTCCAAAACAAAAAACACAGAATACTTTCCTAACAGATAATTGGTTACAAAAGCAAACAGAGCAGAAGTTTAAACAAGAAATTCACTGATAAAACAAAACAGACCATGATCCTTGGAAGTTCTTTACAAACGGTTGCCTTCAGCAATCAGCACCACCCACACCTTCCCTTTTTATAAAGCAGTCCCAAGGTGTGGCTTCTCAATGCCTTCTCCTCCTCCCCTGGAGTTGTCGTATTGACTGCTGCTGATCTGCTCTAGATAATTGCCTGCGTCTACGAGCATCAATCATGTCCATCAGCTGTGAATCCTCCAAATCCGACTCACTCTCCCCACACTTCATCCGTAACACGACTGGAGGGGCCTGGCTCTTCATCAGACCGTGAGTCTTGTAATTCATCAGAGCCTCCCTCTGACCCTGATGGCCCTCCAAATGCCTCCTCCACCTCTTCCTCAGATTCCCCGGACTCAGCTGTTGGGAACACAGGCTGGCACGGAATCACGACACTACCATTCCAGACAAATGGCTATCCAATCTCTTTCTAAAAATCTCCAGTGATAGAGCACCCACAACTTCTGGAGACAAGCTTTCCACTGATTGTTTTCACTGTCAGGAAATTTCTCTTTAGTTCTAGAAAAGTTTTCATCCGTTACTACTTGTCCTGCTCTCAGATGCTTGGGGGAATAGGTCGATCTCCTCTTCTCTGTGACAGCCCTCAAATATTGGAAGACTGTTATCATTTCACTCATAGTCCTCCTCTTCATTAGACTAGACATACCCAATTCCTGCAACTGTTCGTCATATGTTTTAGCCTCCAGCCCACTAATCATCTTTGTTGCTCTTCTCTGCACTCTTTCCAGAGTTTCAACAATTTTTTGTATCGTGGTGATGCAGTATTCCAAGTGTGGTCTTACCAAAAGCAGTATAAATCAGTGTACTAATAGTTCACATGATCTTGATACTATTTGTCTGTTGAGGCAGCCTAGGACTGCATTGGCTTTTTTGGCAGCTGCAGCACACTGCTGGCTCATAGATCCCTTTCACAGTTACTGCTGTTGAGCCAGGTACCACCTATTCTATACCGTGCATTTGGTTTTTCTTTCCTAAGGGTAAAACCTATCCTTTCTCACCACTGAATTGCATTTTGCTTGTTACATAGGGCTTCAGTTTCCTAACCTGTCTTCTCTATATCCAATGATATCCCAATGAGATGACAGAACGCCCTAGAAACAGCATCCATAATTTTCTCATCCAAAGAATTATTGTCACAATAAATCAATTTTTGTCTGACTCGTTCATTATTCATGTGCATAGCCACAAAGACAAGTTTTTTTTAAAAAGAAAAATAAGCTCCAAAACTGGAAATAAAACTGGCTTTTGAATAACGCACTAATATGCCAGTCTTTGGCTAAGATTTTCAAGCAATCCAAGGTAAACAATCCTAATTCTTCAATACTTCTTTTTCTTGAGATTATAATGCCATCTCTCAAATGAAAGACTTTTAAAACAAAACACGTAATAACAGAAGCACACCTACCAAAGGACTGATATTCTTAACAAATACTTTTTTATTCTTTAATATTTTGTACAATCCAAAGGTGCACAGGCTGCCATTCAAGCATTTGGTTTAGGCATATATCCAGATCAAAACAGCAAGTGGGATAATATATTTTAAAATCCCAACAAATAAATAAATTAGTTCACATTGTCTTCAGTACTCCTAGGCACTTTTAATTCCTACTGCATTCTTAGAGCCTGCTTTAAGAGTTCAAGATCTTTCCGTTTGCTTGTATTCACTCTGGCGCAACCATATTCCTCCAGTTGTAAAGGGATGTACTTTTCAATCACACCTAAGTCCTCTTCGGCAGAACCTGTAAAGAACTTGACCCAAGAGGGCTTAAAATTCCCTCTGAATCCCAGAAAACGAATGGTCTCTGAAACAGACAGGAGAGAAAAAAATAATAGCAAGTCTAAATGATATTTGACATAATTATTCTCAACAAATAATTATATCATTTTTAAAAAAAGAGTTTTGCTCTGGTAATACTGCAGGTTTGAAAAATGCCCCAATCTCATAAAATAACATACCAGTTCTAATTTGCACACCCTTTAGAATTTGATTTCAAAAGTTGTGGGGAAAAAATGTACAAAAGCAAACAAACCTGCATTGTGAAGATTTGGTGGTTTTGCTGCCCCCAGGGTCGTTAAGGCTTCAGAAATGTTAAGGTTTGTTATGTTCCCTCTGCTGGTTAACACAACTACAGACCTAAGAGAAAAATGCGGATCGGATAAAGTTGGAGAGCAGAGAAGAACACTGACTTATTGCAGCTAATAAATATGAATCCTGAGTGGGAGATTTTGAAAGCTGCAGAAATAATTTCAATATGCTTTGAAAATATTAATCTCTTTTACACGTTGTACTAACACATAACATGGTACATTCTCTGTAAAATACTAGAATTTCTGTTTTCTTTCTCTTCTTTAAAAAATAAGATTCTTTTCTTTAAAAAAAAGTGGTGAGGTCTTGGAAGCCAAGGGGAAACCAAAAAGATTTTGGAAATATTCAATGCTGTTTTGAGATTTCCCATCTATTGAATGCAACTAAATCTACAGAACAATACGTCCGTATGCTCAATTTCCAAAACTGATCAAACTGCAGAACCATTTCAGGCACCACAAGTCACGCATGACCAAGCAGTTTTAATAAAAGAGTATGATAGTTCTTCTAGCATTCTGTATTTTTTTAAAAAATGACCGGTTCACAGCAATCATGAAAGTTCTTTGTTCTTTTATAAAGCACCTAACTATTCTGACAGCATTTTTGTGGATTTTAAAAACAAACACTACATTTGCATTTCTCTTTCCACTTACATTAGTTTATGGGTTTATACTATATTGCCTACCTTTGGGGAATTCCGGTTTTTATATAATTTTCTATGAGCTTGGTCTTCTCTTCAGGAAAAAATGTTTCTTTTGTTACTTTACCCAAACAGGCATCAATGACTAGGGCAAGAAGGCCCACCTTTTTCAGTGGAAACTTGACATCATTGACCTGAAAAGGAAAAAAAAAACTCTCTTAAAAGCATTTATTTTCTCATGCCTATAAGAGTTATTTGTAAATACATTAATCTTCTGCCACTAACAGAATGCCCCTGCATTTAACCATGGTTTGGCTTATAAATGGCAATACGGGTGGTCTTCAACTTACAAACCATTTGTTTAGCAATCGTTTGAAGCTACCGTGGTGCTGAAAAAAAGGGACTGATGACTGGTCCTCACGCCTATGACCATCGCAGTGTTCCCTACAGATCAAAATTTGGGTACTTGGCAACTGCCACATATTTACAAGGGTTGCAGCATCCCAGGCTCACTTGGGATTTTCACAGTCGACAAGCCGTCAGGTTCACTTAAGGACCACTTAGCGACTGCACAAAATATAACTGTAGAATTTGATGTGACTCACTTAACAATTGCTTCGTCTAGCAATGGAAATTCCAGTTCCACCTGTAGTCATATGCTGAGGACTATCTGTGCTAAATTTCTGACCATGGACAATTACTATTAATGATGTACAAAGAAACTATTAATGGACTCCTTTTAAAAACTATGTTTTATGGCAACCACCATAAAGGGGGACCCATTTTGAACCCTGGAAAAGAGAATTGTGCAGGGGACCCATTTTGTGCAGGGGACCCATTTTGAACCCTGGAAAAGAGAATTGTTTCAAGCCTTGTACAGATAATTTTACTTAGAATTTTTAATGGTAGAACTGTGGTCTGCAGTTTATGCCTTCCTTTCAATTGCCCTGGGATTTAAATAAAACTCTTACTAGTAAACCCCCAGCCTACTTTTTCCCCCCTCCGATCCTGGTTTTTTATCACAGTGTCAGGATAATGTTTGAATTAAGCTCTAGGACATAAATACCAATCAAGTGAAAGATTTACTCTGAAGTTCTGTATTCAGTCCTGAAGTAGAAAAAAACGGAAGGAGATCAATTAATGCTACCTCGTCCTCCCCCCACCATTTAAAACAACTACTTCTCTTCTAAGAATGAGGAGTATTAAAACATCACTACTGTGTGTTAGTGTAGAAATTCTCCCACGGAAATTTATCAAAGGCCTTCTGAAAGCCAATCCTGACAAAATATGCAGCAACAGGAATGCCAAAAATGTCAATCCCCTCACTTATTTTCTTTCTCCTGTTTGCAGAAATGTGTGAAGCCTATTAAGCAGTTTTAGCAGATCCAGCTCGGTATGTGTTGTGTGTATGTGTTAAATCCAGCTCTCTTCCTTATAGGACAAGAGACTAACTTGCGTCCACTTTATCCCCTGTGCATCAAACTGAGATAAGCAGAGACGCCTGGGAGCCTCCTTCAATTCATGCTTCAGACTGTCTGTTGTTTTCTTTGTGTATCAGGCAGGGTGAGCAGCTAGCTTAGAGCAAGGAGAACAACACATTTCTTCTTTTCACTAAGCAAGATCTTCTTTGTTCTGTTCATGAAGCAGCCAGGAGATGGTACTCTGGGCTGGCCAGATTCATAGACAGCCTCACCCTTTTTACAAGGGGAAGTAGTCTGAGCCACGGCTTCCTTGCCTTCTCGTGGAAGGCAAGCAAAGATAACTCACACACTGCCAGGGAAGTGGCAAGGGCCTTCATCCCTGCCCTAACCATCTGCTGTCAAATCCCTACAAGTTTGTAAAATACTTTCTCACACTGAGAGGAACGTAAGGCCCAGGAAGAGAACAAGAATACTTACAGATATTGAATATTCTTGTGATTCTGAAGTTTGGATTTTCACAAAGATGTAGGTTTGATGAGGATCACTGGTAAATACCACCTGAAATGTTAAGGATACCATATAGATTTAAAACTAGTAATTTTTGGTATTATTTGACAGTTCGTTTTGGAACAGACTATTGAATTGGCAAAAAATAATAATCATACTAAGATGTTCAAACATCCACGTAAGATGAGAAAGAATGTATTTTTGTTGAATCACAGAAAACTTGTTAAAATAAATCTTTGAATTAAGATATAGTGGTCCTGGGGTGTACTGGATCCTGTACAGATTTGCACATTGGTAAAATCCTGTTCAGTTTTATATATGTATAAAACCCCATTTGTAATTTTATAATATGGATAAAATTACATTCTGGATACCGACTCTTCCCATGAGTCCATTAAACTGGTGGCTTACTGTAAAAATAGTATAAATCAATGGACTATAATTTTTCTAAGAAAATATTTTTAGACGATAACTCATGAAGCAATACAAAAAAAGGTCATATTATAAAAAGTACATATAGAAAAAGAGCCTCTACAAACAACAATAAATTATTTTGTTGGCAATTAAGCTGCTTCTTTCTTTCTACTTTACTTACCACTGTTTTATGACCACCATAAGGGCAGGCTATCTAATAATTATCAATTATTTTAGATTTTGTACTCCAAAGCCTAAATCAGCAAAATTCCTGAGAAGAATTGTAGAAATTGTAGTATCAAATATCTGGGGACTTATTTACCTTTACATACAAAAGTCCACCCTAGGGCTTGAGGTAGTTTACAACTGAAGTAAAAAACCAATAACAACAGTAACCTATGACCACCCACACCGGCCATGATCTCCATCTACAGATTTAAGAATACCTTGGGAAGACATTTTCCACTTCCAAATAGTGGAAGTGTGAACCATCATTGGGACTGGATCAGGCCACACTGACAAATGTTGACAAATAACATGTCCATCTTGCAGGGATTCTTTCTTAAGCTTATTTTGACCCATGCAAACTCTGATGGAAGCTACGACCAGCTAGTACTTTGAAGCATTCCTTAGTCTGGCCCTGGGATATTATCAGCATCATCACCTGAAATGAAGGATCTTCTAAATAGTAAATATTGCTCTTATTCTAAAGAACATCCAGGTTCTACTGGAAGAACTTTGGACTTAACTCCTCCATTCTTTTTGGAAGAGTTTTTAATCTGCTTCGTTGTTTTATGATTTTAATGTTTTTTTAATGTCTTTATGCCATAAGCCATCCAGAGTCATTTGACCTGAGATGGGCGGCAAACAAATTTTGTAATAATAAAATAATAATCTTTTGCTAGTTCTACTAAACACAAGCAACCATTCTGTGAACTGTGCTTGACAGGTTCCCATGCCTATTTTCCTTGAGAAATACATTCAATTCTTTCTGCAACTCACCTGCCAACCTGACAGATAACCATGGAATAAACCATTCAATATTTTTGTTTCATACAATCTTACCTCCACAATCATTTCTCACCTGATCTGAGCCACATTTCAGACAGATGTTAGTTATTTTTGTGGGCATTCTTTTCACAGCTGTTGGTTTCTGGAAGTACTTTGGATAAGCGTTTGCTGAGCAGTTACTGTAAGATTTTGACTGAAAGCTGGCCTGTATTTTGACTCTTTCACATCCCTGAGATGAACAGTAACTATGCCCTTCTCTGTGATATTTGGCTTGCAGGAACAGAAACAATAGCCTGCCAAGGAACACAGAAGTAGAGAAATATTAAGCAGAGCACACGCCATTCCACAGGATGCTACAGTGGCACAACTGTTTACTTGTGCGTCTTACTTTATGCATCTTCCACCAGTGCTATTGATTTCATTTTTCTTGTTGTTGAAATATGATCAACTCCCCACTCAGACTGTGAATTACATTCATTCTGCCATTTATAACAGCCATTTTGCTAGAAATGAAAGCTCCTTCTTTCTAACACACTGTGTATGTGGTAGATGAGAGAAACAATGTTTGTGTGAGTAAACATATTCAAGCTCATGGAGGAGACAAGATACAGTCCTGGATAGAATTATTTAAGATAGACAATGAAATTGACAAACTGAATGGAAAATAATTTCTGGGCGTACTTAACATCCTAGCTTGTGCTAACCTTGAGAAAAATGACCCTTCAGTCATAAATCTGTTCATAACCACAAACCACAAGGATTTCTCTTAGAACTGCATCCACGCTACATCTCTCAACTCTTAGACAGCCAGACCAAACAGTCTTTAGTCATTACTTTAATTTTATGGAAAACGTCTACCCAGTGCTATCATCAAAATAAAAAATTTTCTCTGTTCGTCTCTTCTGCAGCTCAGCCATTGAAGACACGGCAACATAATCCTCCATATTATAATAAGCAGATGCCTGTCTCTGGAATACATCGAAGGTTACTTGAAAAGAGGCATCTGGTGGGTAACAGAGGCCAACTCGGATCCAGTCATTCCTGAAAAAGAGAATTGATGAAAAACATTGTCATTTATGATTTTATGATTTGCTCTTTGTTGCATTTAACGTTCTTATTCAGCAAAGACTATTTGGGAACTGGAAATTTTGCACGAAAAGACAGCGGCACTTATTAGTGGACTGAGGCAGAGAAAAGACAATTACAGCAGAGACAATTAAACAACGCCTTAGGGAAGGGACATGATGCATTTCTATGTAGTCCTCAAAGCCCTTATACACTTGGAAGGTATTTAACCAAATTCTGTTTTCAAAGGAGGACCTCAACTTTGCCATGATTTGATGTGCTTTAACAGTGGTTTCAGAAGGCATCCCATTCAATTTCAGACTTTGCCTATCTGGTGAAAAAGGTTTTGAAACCACCGAACAAGTTTCATTATGCTGTCCGTTTTATGCTAGCATGTGTCATAAGTCATTACCCCACATCTAATTAAATATCCTGGTCACTTTTATTAGTTTTATTTAAAGCCTTAACTTTCAGATTCAAATGATTCTATTTCCTTAAGTATGGTTGCAATTATTTGTGTAATATGTAAGTTACACAGAAATTGGGTTGATCTGTGTATCTAACTGGCTATCAAATATTACCAATATATACACAAGTATGTTTTATGGACTGGAGATTGACCACAATAAAGATCCTTACCTACATTTTCCTGAGGACTGTCAGGTTCCACAGGATTTAAAGCCCACAAAGACTATTGATTACATGCTTAAATAGTATAGCAATCTACCACAAAAGAACACCACATGCAAACGTACTTGTTGAAATTAATGAGGTATAAGAAAGTTATTTGTGGGGATTGTCCATTCCAATGTATCGTGTAGCCCTTTTGAAGCATTACCACTGGCTGGTATTGCTGGAAGTCAGCTTTTTGATTATTAATACCTCGAAGTATCATAGGGTTGGAAGGATATTCGTCTCGTACCATAGTCATGATTAGATTCTGTGGGTTCCGGGTCTGGATGTATACCTACAAGAAGAAAGGGAAATGCTAAGTCCTATGAAATGACAAAGATCTGATCTATCAAAAACACATGCAGTATAAATGACCTGGATGTAAGACAAGTTAAATCTCAATTACATAAGAACTCTGAAGGACGAAAACTATTTTTACAAAGAATTATATGATCTAAGGAAAACAATAATAAGAATGATTCAATTACAACTATGGGGTAGATATAGGTTTTAGGGCTTAGCAAATCCTCCTTGTCAGCAGTTATCCTCTCTCTTTTTTGTTGTTGAACCCTAATAATACGTTGCCATAAAAAAAAAAAAAAAAATAGAAGTTATGGGTTGAATTGTTTTTCTGATTTGACTGGTAATCTTGTATGACTGGAGGAACAATTAAGCTTTAGGTTGCCCTCAAGTCAGAAAGGAAACCGCAGTCAGGAATGCTGGAGAGACTATGAGTCAGATATTTAAGTTTTCTAACCCTCTAAGCCACATTTGAACAGGATTAGTTCCATCATAATCTCTTCCGTGTGAAGTCATAGCTCTACTCTAATCTTTATACACAATATGACACATGAAAAATGCATTATTAAAACAAAGCAATATTATTACAGAACAAGCATAGATACATCAACATGTTACTCATACTTCCCTCTCTCATGTCCTAAGGAACAGAAAAACTGTGAATATGATATGGATAAAACAATATAATGGAATTATTCTTTCTTCATATATCTGACCCTATATTTGCTTTCTTCATGCTAGTGTTTTACATTAATTAGTATTATTTAAAAAATATAGAAACAGAGATGGTGGTGAATGAATGATGCATTTATTTGTTTAATTTTATTTATTTATGTTCTATAGCCATCCACCTCAGTCAATGGCTCTACAGTCTTTGTGTAGCTCTGTTTTTATTCGTGTTAACCTAATTCTCATTTCCTGAATTAACTTAATCTTCTGGGTTTGCATTGAACCATAATTAGCTGCCCCACAGGATAAAACGGGGAGGATAATTTGTGGTTTAGACAATAATTCAAACACAGCCATTGTATGAGTGTGGGTGAGAAGACAGAAAGATAGAACATATATACTCAGCTAAAAAATATTCAAACTGCTGAATTTAAATGTAAATACAAATCAATAATTCAACCTTTTCCTCTAGAAAATCGGACACACTATTCATGTTTCATGCATACAACACAACATTCACATCTCTCTTTTAACCTGAGCAAAAGTTCCACTGCAGACTACACCATTCCATGTGATAAAGTTAGAACAGTCTGGATGTCGAATCAGATAGTTATCCATTCTACCAACGTAAGTGTCCTTGAAACCCGTCACCGATCCATCAACATCGTGGAATATTGAATTCTTGTCACCATCCTGATCAGCTTCTTCAAACCATGGGCCAGGTTTTCCAAAGAAGACTTTTAAAGAAACCTTACAAGACAAAAAGTACATTATTATTTATTTGTTATTTAATTTATAAATTGTCCATTTCCCTCACAGAGACATCAGTCTAATGCCACTGATTACCATTATTGTCTTCAAAATCCTTTCCTTTTTCATGTGGAAAAAGCAACTTTAATTTTTTTTAAAAAAACTTACATTTTCACCAAATGCCACCAGGGAAATATTGTTTTGAGGTGTAATTTGCCAGGTGTTTTTCAGTGGGAACCCAATTGCACTAGTGAATCTATCAGTAGTTGGCACAAAGTTATTGAATGTACATTTGGTGAGGCGAATAGGTCCATCATAAATTTGAAATCCACGGATTGGGTAAGTCCTGTAAAAGCAGAAAAATGTTTAGAAACATCACTTTCCCTGATATAAATATTTACAGAATAAGCAGCTAAGAGGAGAGTTATTAGGGAATAAAAGCTATTAAATATAATGAGACTCAGTGAAATAAGCTTTAGATTATGGCAAAATTTATGAAAATATTTGCATGCTTATTTTTAAATGTAGTATTTATTCTGGGCCCTATTTTACTGAACTTTCCTGGCCCAAGGAATAATTTAAGACAGGATGACATAAATGTATGTATGTATCTATATTTTAGACCACAGGTCGGCAACCTGCGGCTCCGGAGCCACATGCGGCTCTTTGAGCCTTCTCCTGCGGCTCCCAGCCTCTTCTGCCATTTGCAGAGAGAGACAGAGACACAGAGAGGCACTTGTGCTTTCTCTCTCTCTCTCTCTCTCTCTCTCTCTCTCTCTCTCTCTCTCTCTCTCTCTCTCTGTGTGTGTTTGTGTAAAAAAGAGAGTGGCCTCACCCTGTTCGACGAGCTGACAAGCTTACTGGGTAGGGCTCCTGCCTTGGCTGCGTGTTTGCAGGAAGCAGGAAACAGGAAGGGCAGGAGAGAGCCAGCCTGTTGGAGAACAGCTTGAAACCAGCTTGCCAAGTGAGCAGAAGATTGGAGAAAGGGAGAGAGAGGGGACAGAGAGAGGGAGAGAAAGAAAGAGAGAGAAAAAGAGAAAGAAAGAAAGAAAGAAAGAGAGAGGGAGAGGAGAGGAGAGAAAGAGGGAGAGGAGGAGAGAGGGAGAGAGGAAAGAGGGAGAGAGGGAGAGGAAAGAGAGAAAAAGAGAGAGAGGAGAGAGGGAGGGAGAAGGAGAGGGAGAGGGAGAGGGAGAGAGAGAGAGAGAGAGAGAGAGAGAGAGACCCTTTTGGCATCTAAAATGAAGATAACACTGCATATATCCTTTTTTACCTTTATGTGATATATATATACCTATAATAAAGGTAAAAAAGGATATATGCAGTGTTATCTTCATTTTAGATATCAAAAGGGTTTTGCGGCTCCCAGTGTTTTGTTTTTGGTGGGAAACGGGTCCAAATGGCTCTTTCAGTGTTTTGGGTTGCCTACCCCCGTTTTAGACAAAGTCCCCTTCTCAGTGTGAAAACTGTAATTAATGAATCTGAACTTTGTTCTTCTCCCGTTGATTATCCTAATGGCAAGTGGAAGCTATTGAATCCCCTGAAGCTCCTTAAGAAGAATAATTATATAGGTAAAAGATATCAAGGAACAGGTGGATGATGGTTTAATTTTCAGTCATATTTTCAATCCATTTGAGAATAGATAAGCACCAGATCTTGTAATATTGGTAAATTAGCAGATCCAAGAGAAAAAAAAAAACAGGTTAAAAAAATATTGTCATGGAGAAAATATATCTATGTGGTCACTAGTAGCAGAAAACGACTTCATGGCACATAATCAATGAATATATATTTTAATACTATTGAAACACTTTAGCTCACCATAATTCTACATATATCCTGATTGGGCTGGATTTCTGCAGTACATATACAGTACAGGCTGATTAAAGATGCACGTATGTATTTATTGGTGATTTTTTTTTACTATTCAATTAAATAAATACTCTGTGAAGTTTAAAGGTATCATTTAAAAATACGACAGAAATACAAAATGTGTTTAAAACCATGGCAACAAATAAGCAATCATTTTCTGACAACTGGGAACAAGTGTAGATGATAAGAAGAGAGGATAACATGGTAATATCTGCAAATCTTAGCTATGCTTTGCTCTATTTAGGAGTAACAGAAGAACGAGTGAAAGTGGCTGGCAACCATCCATGTTAACTCCTTGTCAAGGAATCTATGCTGGTATACACCCATCAACTTACATCTTGCAGGGGCAATCTAAGTTTCTTCAGGAACTATCTGATTATCATCTCTTTTAAAGAAACGGATACTGTCCTCTTTGTAAAGAAAAAAAAAGATGCATAATTTCTTAAATAAGCTGGACATCCTCTTTGGACTGTTCTAAAGAATGAAAAAAAAGCCCATACAGGTGATCAGATATACCAGGCCAAGTGTTTTCCTCAACATTCAAATGGATACAATTGCCTTGAATCTCTTTTGCAAAACAATCATAGAAAATTTCTAAGAATTCTGCAGTATAAATTCAAAGCTAAATTGTGGTAGGTTTCTAACTAAGTAACAAAGTCATGTCAAAAGCTATCCTTGCTAGGGCCACAAAATCAGCCAGATAACAAAATCAGTCAGATAAACCCACATAGCCAGAAACACTTACCGGTTTCTAGGTAATGTGCGTGTTTTATTGTTTACTCCTCCAGTCCCCCAGTATTTGTTCTGGCCTCCTAAATAGCCATAATTCTTACTTTCACCAACAAAAAGAGAGTTTGAGACTTCTTGGCTGGATCCTTCATCACTCGGAAAACTTCCATCACTATCAGAAACAAAACCAAAGACTTTTCGCAGATGTAAAAGATCTAATTCTAGTAAGGCTTGTGCCACATTTAACAGAAGAAATGACCACCACTGTGTTCTTGCCTGGTTTGGTGCTTCACCTCATCCGTATGACGGCCTGATGAGAGAACTAGGCTAGTAATATCTGGTGAGATTTAAATTTTTTGAAACCCCACTATCTGGCAATATTGCCAGGAAATTAAAATAGAAAGGAAGATGGCGTGCTACCCTGATCTATTTTAGAGGAGAAACAAAATATAATAAATGAGTTTCTGTGTGTATACATTGTCCAGTGGAGTCCAATAAATGACAACCACTGAAAATAAAGCCAAACAGTACTAACCTGGCAAAAGTTAAGCCTATTCCATTGTCAGCAAATCTAGGAGAGAGAAAAAAAAATAACTTGTTTTAAAAAACAGCTTCTTTTGATTAGCATTAAAATAAATACATTTTTAAAATGCGGCTCAGAACTTAATCCAGGCAAGGTAGAAAATGCTGAATCAGAGCTTGGCAGCTGAACCCATTTTCCTCAAATACAAGCGGCTGGTTCAAAGCAAACTTAAAACAGATAACAGCAAAAAAATATGTTTGTATATTTTTTTAAGCATACAAATCCAGTATGTTTCTGCTACCTTCCCAGAAATTATAATGCAAATAGATTTAATGAATGTAGTCAGCTCTGCCAGCCCTGTTCAAAATAATTTACTTTAGCAACATGCTCACATTTGCTCTGGAGGACTCACCCTGAGTTCTGAATGATGATGTCTCCACCTCTGACCCAAGCCCCGTGGTCATTGTTTTTATAAGCTATTAGTCTTTCTATAAGAGCAGCAACCCGGGGCTTCTCAGGATTTGCATCTTGATGAGGACGAAACCTGATAAATGAAAGACAGACAGAATTGTACTGGCCTGTGAGCAAATCTGCCTACATGTCCAAAATATTAAAACTACTGCCTGACGCAGGAGATCAGCTCCAGTATTAAACACGTCCAAAGAAATGAAATAGAGAATAAAAGATTAGCTTGGGTTTGACACGGAAAAAGAGACAGAAGATCTTTGTGGCACCATAGTTGTTAAACTACAAACTACCATGCTAGCTAAGTCTAACATGAGTTATCTTCCAATAGCAGTCTACTTCCACCCTCTCACCTAAATAATGTGTACTTTCTCCTAGTAAACTCCCACTGAAATAGAGAGAACCGTGTACTATAATATTTACGTACATTACACTCCTTATATTCTTTGTTTTCCCAATTTCTTTATAAGAAAGCAGGGAAGCACCGAAGTTATGAGCAACCACCTAACTTGTAGACAAAGTTCAGTGGTGATTCAAATACCTCTAATGCAGGGCCTAATATAATGTACTATGGTGTAATGTGGTGTGTTGCAATGAAGAAGCTAAATCTTTAACAGTGTGGTCACTAGGACATCAAGTAGCTTAGCAGTTCAACAGAGAACTGGGGACAAAAAAACCCTGAATGGAATGGAGTAACAGATCTATTCATAACAGCAGTCAGCCATCAGAGAGGCAGGAGAAAGCATTCAAAGAGACCAAGGAGGCAAGAATAAAAATGAAAACTGGAATATTTTATTATTTAGCTAAGGGGTATCAGCAGAAAAATAGCTAATATTTAGCTAATATCTGCAGAAAGAAAATCATAAACACTAACTTGCGAAAAGAATGTGGGCTTGTAATTCAAAATTACAAGCAACAAATTAGAAGCAACAAAAAGGGCTTTTTGTCTAAGTGACTACTTATCTTTTTTCAAAAAAGAATGCATTGCTTTGTAGCTACTAATATTTATAATAACAAATTATGCCACATCATTATTTCTCTTTTTACGAAGTAATTTAGTTGATCAGTGGAGTGCAGTTGACATAGATTACCTTCACTTCAGGAAAACATCTAATAAAGTTTCCTATATGTCCCTAATAGAAAAGATAGCAAGATGTAGACTAGAAACTACATTACCATCTGGTTGAAGATCAAAGGCTTCATTCTAGACCTTGTATCATTCAACATATTCATAAGTAACTTGAATGACATGTTAAAATATGACTTCTAGGTGGCACAGTGTATTTGACAGCAAATACTTTACAGAACAGCATTAAGATTCAAGCGCATCTTCTTATTTGGAACAATAAGCAGAGGCAGCACTCTTTCAAGAGGCACAAATGGAAAATCCTTCATTTGGATAGAAAATTCAGTGGCATAAATACTGCATAAGATAGGGACAACATCCAGACAGTAGACCCTGCAAAAAGGACCTAGCTGGCTTGATGAATCACTGACCGAACGTAAGCTAGTAGTATGATACAGCTGCTAAAAAAGCAAATATAATCCTAGGTTTTATCAATAATAGTGCCAAGATCAAGAGAAGTTATTCTGTGTTGCTCAGACTTAAGTTATGGTACTGCATTTTAGGAAGGAAGCAGCAACCAAGAATATAAGGATAATAAGTATAAGAAAGTTCATCAGGACAGTTGAGAGGTTACAGGCATTTTTAGCCTGTGCCTTGATTATAGAGAGCTGTAGAGAAACAAATGTTGTGTCCAATCACTTGAAGAACAGTCATACAGAAGATGGGAAAAAATGACTGTAGCTCTTCCAGAAGAAACAATACGTTTAAATTAAAAGTGTGGACATGGGGATCACCCCACCTCCCCATATTAAGAACTGTTCAACAATGAAACAGGCTGTCTTGGGAGATGGATTTAAACCAAAGCTGACTGGCCATTTGTTAGGGCTACTGTAGTAGTGGAACTCTAAACTGTCCAGAGGCAGAATCTTCATGGTCCATATTTAGTTCTTGCATTCTATGATTCTGTCTGAAAGATTGCTACGTACTTTGTCTTTCGATATTAAAATTCTGGGCAAGACTTTCCAGATGTAATCTTTAATCATTCTGCTTTCCATCCCAAAATTTCATTTTACCTTGCATTAGTGTCCAAAGACAGGTATTCCCTTTTATCTGTAGCACTTGCATTGGTGATTTTTACTCCTTTATCAATGAATAAGCCAGCCTCAATAAAGAAAAAAAAAGACAAATTAACCTTTTCCACAACTGAAAATCTGTGGATAATCTTGCGAATCTTAGTGATATCCTCTAACAAGGAACAACTAGGTTGTTTCCCAAGTGCTCGAGGTTCCTTCATATTAACATATATTAAAATAGTCTTATCTTGCACACTAAATATTTCAGAAAGACCCTTTATGAAGGAATCAAGAGGCAGATACTCCTTTTGAGCTGAACACATGACTTGTATAATACCATTCTCCCCCCCCCCAAACCAGATAATTGGCATAGTTACAGGTAAACGCAACATATCTAAATTGACCAACATTTTTAGTGATATAATTTTTCAGCAATTGATGTGTCCTTTTTAATTGAAACAAAAGGAGAATGACTACAAAGTCGTTTTAAAAGATTGTAAATCAGTTTCTTTGGGAGCTTGAGAAGAATGCCAGGTGCCAGGTTACTATCTACTAATTAACATGTCTTTTTTCAAAAAAAAAAAAAAAAAGAGCTTATAAAATACCTTCATTGAAAGGATGTAAAACAAAACAAACAAATATTCCCCTGAGGGAAGGAGTAGGGACAAGGAGGCCATCCTGTTTTTTGATCATCTGAAAATGTTAGGGGAAACGATGGATTGTTCTCGCATATCCTGATGCTGAATACACATTGCAATATTTATTCAGAGACCAGTTTCACTGCATTCAGTGGGGATTAGTTTTAAGTAGAGATACATAACTTTTTATTATGTTCATCGAAACCAGTGGCAAATAGTTCAGGAAGGAAGGAAGGAAGCCATACTTAACAAATGCTTATACATAATGAGCTGTGGATTATAAAGGATATGAGCAGTTTATTGTTTTCTTTATTTTAAAAAAATCTCTCTCAAATTACTGAAAAAACAAAACGTGGCAAAGGCATAAAAAGAACAAAGAAAAAAAAGATATGACTGTCCTATCTTAACATTAATCCCTGTTTAAGCTCACCAATATATGACTTTGGGTTGATGTTAACAAAGCTATGTAATCTGCACATTCTTTAAAATAGTATTCTGTATTTTATACAGGACCATTTATACTGCAATTGCAGCGTATACACTGGTTTTAATAGTCATGGTTTTATAGCCTTGGAAGAAAAACAATCCCTTTGATTCTAATATCTCAAAAAAAGATTAGCTAGAATTTGATGCCATTTCCATCTTATTTCCAAAAAAGCCATTTATGAGTACAGTAGGGAAGAGATTATTTCAGAAATATATATTCTTAACTAAAATTCCAAACCAAGACAAAGAAGACGGTTAGGAAAGAACATTGTGCATTTTTTCCTACATTAAAAATTTAAGTAGGCTAGCCAAAAATAATAAGAAGCCTTTTTCTGTGGTGACTGCTGTTGGAAGAACCCCAAAGGCTCTCTGAGAAACTGGCTTACCCCAATGGGGTTAGCCCAGTAGTGGGGAACCTATGGCACAGGTACCAGAGGCGGCACTCGGAGCCCTGTCTGTGGGCACACGTCCGTTGCCCCAGCCTTGCCTCCTCCCATGACCCCCTCCTTACCAGCAGCCCCCCTGGAGGAGAGTCACCCCTGAGCGTGGCCCACGCGGAGCAGGGCAGCCAAGGACATGGCAGCCAGGCAGCCTAGACAAGACTCTGCCCTCACGCCCCATCGCGCAGTTGATGCTGCGGGGTGCGGGCAGAGGGCGTGGCCGCCATGGCGCTGCTGGGCGATCTGTGGCGGCCCTGGAGGCGGTGAGCGGCCCTGCGGGCAGGCAGGGTAAGGGCGGGGCAGGGTGGAGCAGGGGCGGGGCCAGTTTTTGGGCACTCAGCCTCTAAAAGGTTCGCCATCACTGGGTTAGCCCATCCTACCCGCACTGGCAGAAGAGACATGCTGAGCGTCCTATCAGCCAAGAAATTTCAGCTGGCAGGGTCCAGAAGAAGAGCCTTCTCTATGCCATGTGAGACATCTTGCCCTCCCCAGGTCAGATCTGCGTCCGCCCTTTTGGCCTTTTGAAAGGCCTTGAAGACATGGCTGTGCCAACTAGCCTGGGCCCCAGATGGGGGTGTAGTATTTTGAACAACCCCACCTTCTCCCTGTACACACTTTGCTTCCTTTCTTCTCCATCCTGCTTAGTTTTACTTTAATTGAATTTTAAGATCCTTATTTATTGTTTTAATGTTTTATGCTGCGTTTCATTCAATGTCTGTAAGTCACTTAGAGTTGCCTTTAAAGAGATAAATAATAAAAAATAAAAATAAATAAAATGTTGCTGGAAGTTCAAAAACAAGCTATACAGCAGGTTAAGTTGTAAATAAAGGCATTCCATTGTCAAAGCATATATCAGACAAGTAGTTCTGGCCACTAAAAAAGTATGTAACCAAGTTTCAGTAAATATTAACCAAATGATTCTGTTTGGTTTTTTTGTGCCTGTTCAATATTTTCAGTCAAATGTTCAGATGAATTAATCTTAAAAGAAGTATCTGATTGCTTACAAGTGAGACTATGAAGCCTCAGTTAGTATTAATATATATTACCTATGTTAATATAAGTTAGTATTAATATATGTAATCTACAGGATTAATAATGCGATATAGATTTATACTTTATTTAAGCTCTTTAGGAACCTCTCCTGAAATTATTTCCACAAGATGATCCCTGTAAGCACACAATACCATATCAGATGTGCATATAAAAATAGTAAATCTTTGTAAAGATTTTAGCAGCATGCATACTTACATTTCTGTGTTATATGGTTGATCGTATAAATAAACATAATGAATATTTAAAAATGAACAAATGAATCAGTGTAATGAAACACAGAATGGCTTAAGAATCATAATTATAATTCCAAGCACACTTATAACAAACAAGTTATAGTGAAACAGCAGGACATCCCTTTTACCTAAACATATTAAAGAATGCCTTTAGTTAAACTGTATGATTTGTCTTGCGTTGAGTACGGCCAGTTTTGTTTAATTTAGATCATGATACATTCATAAACATATAAACCATTAACAGGTTCAGTTACCTTAAAGTTGGAGTGGACTTTGTTGTTATAGAAAATTCCTAGGGGGGTAAGTTCAGCTTTTGTTTCAAGGAACAATCCATGGGAATCTCCTGTAGGAACTTTATGAAATATATACCATATTCCAGCATCCTAGGAATAAAAAGTGAACTTCAGGGATATGCCACCCTATTTTGTTTGTTTTGTTGTTGGATTTTTATCTCCAGGAGTTCAAGATAGTGTACACAACATTGCCATTCATGCTGGCTCAGGAATTCTGGGAGTTGAAGTCCGCAAGTCATAAAGTTGTCATAGTTGCCAACCCCCTGATTCAGATCTATTTCTACCTCCATCATTAGAGTACTAAACCATTTGGGTAAGAAAACCAGAACACAATAAAGGACCGTGCTATGTTTTAAAATCAAATTACAGTTTGGCTCCACAAGGTTTATCATCATCAACTGTAGTGGTTAGCTGCCATAGTGATCAAAATACTGGACTATAGTTAATGGAGCACAGTTCTTCTCTTTAAAAGTTGAAAATTATATACTTTTTTTTAAATAAAAAAAAAACCAATTGGTATTATTCAGTGGCCAAAGAAAACACTAGGTTTCTATCGATTGGGTAATTTTCTGGCTCTTAAGATAAAGCCTTCTTTGAATTGAGCTGAGCTCATGGTGATTTTGTGGACATGTGCACGCAGTTTTCTTGGCTACAGTATGGAAGTGGTTTGCCACCGACTCCTTCTGGGATGTTTATTTGATTTTCCAAGCTAGTGTAGAGTTGAAATTTCCTGGTACTATTTCATCCAAGTACTAACTGGATCCGACTCTGCTTAGCTTTTCAAGATCAGACAAAGTTGGCTAGCTGCTATAAAGACTCTTAGCAATAGACTCTTTTGATTTTCTCTTCCTGAGAATATATTGGAGGTGGGGGGAGGTGTGTGTGTGCTTTTCTTTTCTCCATAATTTTTAAAAGTCTCTGGAAGGGTTAGTATACTTATTTTGACAAAAGAATGGAACATTTGGTACCATCTTAGAAGATTTTGGCAGGTCATTAAAAAAGCATTTAGTTCATTGATCTCTGTCCTATAGGTAGTCCTCGACTTACAATAGTTTGCTTAGTGATCATTTCAAGTAACAACGGCACTAAAAAAAGTGACTTATGACCGTTGCAGCATCCCCATGGTCACACAATTTACATCTGAATGCTTGATAACTGACTCACATTTATGACAGTTGCAGGGTCCCAGGGTCATGTGATTATCTTTTGCAAACATTTGAGAAGCAAAGTCAATAGGGAAGCCATATTCATTTAACAACCGTGTTACTAATTTAACTATTGCAGTGATTCATTCAACAAATGTGGCAAGAAAAGTCGTAAAATGGGGCAAAACTCACTTAACAAATTTCTCACTTAGCAACATAAATTTCCTGCTCAATTATGGTTGTAAGTTGAGGACTACCTATATACAATATAATATAATACCACACACAACTGGAAATAAAGTTATATAATTTATATATAAATAAAACTTTATATATAAAGTTCACTGTTTTTTTTACAAATAATAGCTTGTTCATGTTTCATCGGTATTAATATAAATTCAAACGTTTTAAAAGTTTTAAAATGTCAAAAGTTTTAAAATAAACCAGTCCATTCAGATCTTGATGATATTCAGGAAGTGTGAAATAGTTTAATCCACATACATTATGAATAATTGAAGCCTTCACTTTTAACGAAAACAGTTGTTCTCTTTGGAAATAGAACATTTCAGTGTGTTGGCTGAACAATTCAACTGATATGAAAGACACAGATATATATTTCTGTATATCAGAAAAAGCTGATAAAAATACTGTTCTACAAAATATATGATTAGCAATGCAAATATAGATTTAACCTTTTTTATACATCTAAGAAAGATTGCTTATCATTTAGGATACTACAGAACTAGTTAACCAAAATGAAATTCATAAGAAAGCAAATGATCTTATAAATATATTGGTGCCCCAGAGAAAAAAACATTAGTTACTGCAATATGTCAGACCTCTCACCTGTGAGCCAGCAGCTACATTGCTTATAAGATTATTGTTGGGATGAGCAATCCAAAATGTTGATACAGCCCTACAAACAATTGGTGAAACACAATTAAGAGTGACAGATCCTTAGAAGACTCAAGTCTAGTCACGTAAACAACAGTCATTAGTATTCAGAAACAAAGAGAGATCTCCAGCAATTCAATTTTCTAGCAAAGATTGTGAGACTTTTATGTTGCTCTTACAAAAATACTTGTTTTTTAATGCTGAGAATAAAAGTCTATATATATATATATAAATTAATTTTTTTCTGGAATATATGACATATTTGTGATATGAACCATCTTGAACCATCCCCACTGCATTAGTAATACATGAAAAATGTTGTTCAGAACATTGAGAAGGATTTTTGTTGTAAATCAGCTTTACAGGGTTGGTGAGTCCTCTGGAACAGTGCAGAAGTAGACCAACGGTGATCTACCTTCTACCAGAAAAGTGGATAATGAAATGAGTCCTTCTGATTCTGGAAGAGCCACCCTATTTAGGTTCTTCTTCAGGTAGACCTTGCAAGCTGTAACATATATTTAGTTACTTGAATCTGACTCAGATTCTCTCTCTCAGACTGGCCTAAAATCTCCTAATGAATTACATGTGATTTGAATCTAGATTTACTTAGTATACCATTCACCTTATTTCCAATTATGTCAGATATGTACGTTTTCTCAAAAGAGAATGTCTTATATAGAGACCATCAAGATCGTAATCAGGACATTCAAACATTTCTCTAATTTACTCACATGCAATCCGTGGCTGGTACGGGTTCATAGTTTCCATAGACATGATCCCTGATTGCTGTGCACATTGTGCTATTTCTGTCTGTTGGAAGAAGGGTGCCTGGTTTGGTGACAAGTCCTAGATTATGAAACAATATATTCCTTTGCTCAATACCATCCTCCATGAAAAAACAATGGCCTAGTGTATTGTATCCAACAGTGTCTTTTATCTGCAGAAATAAAAAAAATGTTTCATCAGATCTCTCTATATATAAGTAGTTCTAAATATAACTATGGGGACACGACTCTTCTTGGGGACTACAGTTCAATTATGATTTTCCTATGTCCCCAAATAAATCCATGGTAAACAAATCTTCAGGGTGTCTTTGAATCTGTTTCCACTAGCTTAATTTCTGACAATATTTTTTATTTCACAAAATAATTAGTCACCAACAGCTATGGCACTGCCAGGTTAACACATGAAATGTCCCTAAGTGTTAGAAATCATGTTTATACTTCTTGCCAAAGAGTTGTCCCATATTCTCTCTCTTTTATGAGATGGAGAAAGGCCTGGAGGCTAAAACATACGAAGAACGGCTGCAGGACTTGGGTTTGGCCAGTCTAAAGAAAAGAAGTCTAAAGAAAAGAAGAAATAGGGGAGACACGATAGCAGTATTCCAGTATTTGAGGGGCTGCCCCAAGGCAGATGGGGTCAGATTGTTCACGAGAACATCAGAGGGAAGGACGAGAAACAATGGCTGGAAACTGACCAAGGAGAGAAGCAACCTGGAATTAAGGAGAAACTTCCTGACAGTGAGGACAATCAACCAGTGGAACAGCTTACTCCCAGTAATTGTGGGTGCTCCATCACTGGAGATTTTAAAGAAGAGACTAGACAACCACCTGTCTGAGATGGTATAGGTTCTCCTGCTTGAGCAGGGGGCTGGACTAGAAGACCTCCAAGGTCCCTTCCAGTTCTATTCTATTCTATTCTATTCTATTCTATTCTATTCTATTCTATTCTATTCTATTCTATTCTATTCTATTCTATTCTACTCTACTCTACTAAGATAGTTCCCTGAGTGATGATTCCAGCACTCTACTCTATTAAGATAGTCCCCTGAGTGATGATTCCAGCAATTCATGATGTGCATGATCAATGCAAGCTGAAGAATCAAAAGGCTTAAAAGTTTGTCTCTAATCTAGAAAAGGTCACAGATACAACATTATGAACGTGGCAGCCCTCTCATACATACGTTTTCTTTCACTTTGCTTTTGAAATATAAACATAGCACTGCCTAGGTTATCTCAATTACATTTCTAAGTATGGTTATAATCTGTGGTTTGGAGGAGATCATTGTTAGCAAAGCAATGCCATAAACATAATGGTTTGATGTTAAAAAGGAAAAACATTTCTTTCTGTACCTCTGCAATCAGCAAAATCAGGCAGCAAAATCAGGAATACCGAAAGACCTATTTCATTTTGGTTATTTGCACATTCAGTCTCCAAACTTTTCATTCCTTCATTGCTCTTACCAGCAAACCATTTGTGGCATGAATTGACACACATCTGGAGAAACAATGATGAATTGAGAGGCCTTCTACATAAGTTCTATATGTATATCCTCCTTTCTCATCCACATCGCCACAAAGGTAAAAGTGAACGGGGTAACTGCCGGGTATTTGTTGACCCATCTGCTTCAGCTCCACATGAGAGAGATGAACAGATGTGAAATTCTTTAAAATCTGGAAGAATATGCAAAAATAATCCAACTTATTGTTCACATTTTCTTCAATGATAATGCTTTGTACATCTTAGAAAAATATTTAAACAAACAAGGCATTATCAATAAACTAAAAAATATATGCATCATAATGCAAAAACTCCAATACACGAGAGGGGGGGGAGAGGGAGAGAAGAGAGGGAGAGAGAGAGATTAGGGCAAAATATCAAAATTTAAATTTCCACTTTAAACTCTCTTAACATTTGGGTAAATACAAATTATCTAGGATTAACTATATTAGCAGTACTAAAAAGGGTAAGTAAATATTACAAAGAGTAACTTATTACTAAAAGGAGACTATTTATAAAAGAAAATTCCTAAACTAGAAGATTTTTCAGGGTTCTCTTTTTTGTTATGTTAATTTTCTCTGCCAGGGCTATTTCCAACTTTATTAAATATTAATGATCCAGATTTTTTTTTACTTTTTCAATGTTTATTTAATAATAAATGAAGACTCTAGCAGCATGAATTTAATTTTCCACACTGTATCATTTTATAAGATGGGCAATAAAGCCACTTAGAATTAATTACCAAAGTAAGTTCTGTAATGTTTACTATTTCCTCAATCAAAAGAAGTGTGTGTGTAAGAGAGAAAGAGAGAGAGAGAGAGAGAGAGAGAGAGAATTGCATGTGCAGGAAAGAAAATCAAACACCAACGTAATTGTGGTCCTTCCAACATAATCTATAAAGTCTTCGACTGATAGAATGCAAAATTGTAGGAAGGTTTAGTACCATATATGATTTTTTTATAATCAAATATTTATGCTTTGATAAAATGGAGTTTAAGGGAATTTTATACCAAAGAGTTCTAAGCAGACAGATCCTCTTATACAGATAGTCCTTGCTTAGCGACAATTGAGACCATGTTGTGGTCGCTAAATAAAAAATCACATGAGCACAACTGAGCTTGCAACCTTACTTCTCCTATGGTCATTAGGAGAAGCATCACATGACTAAGACTTAAAACTTAACTCTGCTTGTGGCAAGTCAGTGGCACCACACACAAAAGGTGAAGATGGGACAATGGCACGCTGCAATGATCATAAATGCAAAGATTGGTTGCAAAGTTATTTTTTAGTTATTTGGTCACTGCATGAGGCAGACAGTAAACAAGGCGTACCTATACTTTTAAAGGCTTTCAAGAGAACTCATACCTGCTATAAGAATTCTGTGTAAAATGGGAAGAGAATTTTTCCTTTTAAATGATGTGGCTGTACACCTTGCTTTAAGTATTGCCTAGTAACAATTAATGCCTAGTATTAATTTAATAAAAACACAAACATAATATTTAAAGTAACCTAACCATGAAATTAAATATAGAACAGCAGGTGGAAAGCTCCTCTGTTTAATAACCTCTGTTTAATCATAAGCTGCATCATCTCTACAGTATATAAATCAAGTATCACTGCAACTGAGTTGTTGCAGAATAGAATTAATGGGCTAAATTTAGCTTCTGTATAAAGGCAGCTTCACTTCTTCATGCCATAAAAATCAACAAGATTTAATGAGTGGAAGTACCGATGCTGCAACATGATCAATATTTTACACAGCTGCTCAATCTACTGCTTAACTGGCAGCAGGCATTAAATGGTATGAAACAGGATGGAATTCCCTCCACTGTGTCCTATTTGCAAGATCAAAAGCCACTGGTGCCTTGATACGATGAAATTAAACTTTTCCTTCCATACCTTGATATGTCCACCAAAAGTATCAAAACTGAAGAATCTGCAGTCTTTGCCGGTATAGCAGGAATCTTCCATCTCTCCTGTGATTATGATGTTTCTGGTAAGAATTCCAACTTCTGCCCTCATATCCACTCCATCAACGATTTCTCCCATATGCAGGAACTGAGGCATTTCTGGTTCCAAAGAGAGAAAACAAATGAGAAAAAGATGAAAATGACACACCTTTCATTACTATAAATCAGGGGTCTTCAAACTTGGCCCTTTTATGATTTGTGGAGTTCAACTACCAGAATTCCTCAACCAGCTGGCTAAGGAATTCTGGGAATTGAAGTCCACAAGTCATAAAAAGGCCAAGTTTGAAGACCCCTGCTATAAATACAAGTAGCCAACCGGCTCATTTTAACTTCATTCAAAAAAAAAGAAAGAAAAGCTACTTGCCTCTGAATAGGTTTACAAGGATTCAGGTTTTAACACTGCCTGAAAATACAATGCATCAAAAAGGAGAGTAGGAAGTTTTTTTTAACCATTTTTTTTCATTTAGTACATGACAAAAAGTGGATTTCGCCTACATAAACTCTTGTTCTTTGAAAAAAATTTTTTTTTACCAGGCTTAGAATATTTTTCATAATTTAGGTTTATAGATCACTTGAGATATCCTTATTTATGTTAACATTTTTATGTCTATCTGCTTTTCTGCTCTCCGTCTTGCAGCTTATGTAGTGTAGTTGTGTTCAACATCATTGTTTTGGTAAGAAAATTGTTCTTGACTAAACATCACATCATCTCTTAATGGCAGGCCCTAAATTCCAAGTTTTTCCCAGTTAGGAAAAATGATTATTTTCAATAAGAATGAAACAAAAGCTTTACTGACACCTTATCTGAAGCATCAAGAACTTACAAAGTCTCATTCACCAGCTGATGACTGCAATGAGCAACAGGAATGCAAAGATTGTGGCATGCTATGACAAGGCTACGCAAAATTAGAATCTCTTTGTTATTCATACTATTTGTGAATATAGGTAAAAGGTTCTTCTGAGAATAAGAAAAATGTTTCCATAATGGCAATGAAAGCAATGTTGAAGTTCTAATCCTACGTATAGAAAATGATTGCTAGAAAGGAAACTATGGGAATAGAAGTTCTACCAGGGAATCTGGGTGATTTCTTAAAATAATAGACTTGTTTTAAGTGATATCCTAGAACAATAATATATAATACTGTGGAAAAGTCTTGGGCCACCATCTGCTTTGTTGACCATCAACAAATGACCATCCATAATTATTTTTTGGTCCTGAATGCCACATCTTGAATATCCAGTTTGTTTGTTGATTTCCCTTTGAGAGTGCCCTTGCTGATACAAAATGATTTTTTGTCTGCCAAATTCTGTGATCTTTGGCATTTTAACTGGAATGATAGGACATAAAGTTGGTCTCATTAGCATGCTTTTAATGAATTACAGGTAGCCCTCGACTTACGATGACAATTGAGTCCAAAATTTATGTTGCTAAGTGAAACATTTGTTAAGTGAGTTTGCCCCATTTTACAATTTTTCTTCCCACATTTGTTAAGTGAATCATTGCATTTGTTAAGTTAGTAGCACAGTTCTTAAGTGAATCTGACTTCCCCGTTGACGTTGCTTGTCAGAAGGCTGAAAAAGGGGATCACATGACCCCAGTACACTGCAACAGTCATAAATATGAGTCAGTTGCCAAGCATCTGAATTTTTAACATGTGACCATGGGGTTGCTGCAATGGTTGTAAGTGCGAAAAATGGTCATAAGTCACTTTTTTCAGTGCCGTTGTAACGGTCACTAAATGAACTGTTATAAGTAAAGGACTACCTGTTCATTAACACAACATGTGTCTATACTGATGTAATGCTCAAGCATGTCTTACACAAACCTGGTGTAATAGACCTTTTTGCACAGCAGTCATTTTGGCAGGAATTCATAGGACACATACAAATCTTAGCAATCATAGTACTTAGGGTTCTGTTCCATTTAGGTTTACAGGAGGGGCCCCCCAACTCCCAGACCACAGAACTGGGCTGCACAGCTGGAGGTGACTGGCAGGCGAGCAAGCAAAGCTTCATCTGTATTTGCACCCGCTCCCCAGCACTAGCATCATCACCTCAGTTCCACCTCAGATGATCAGACATTAGATTCTGATAGGAAAACGAACCTTAATGTAAACTGCGCATGCAAAGGATCTAGGTTGTGTGCTTCTCATCTACCCCCCCCCCAGTCTGTGGAAAAATTGTCTTCCATAAAACTGGTTCCCGGTGTCAAAAAAGCTGGGGACCGCTGGTTTACAGCAGGGGTCCCCAACCCCTGGTCCGTGGACCAGCACCGCGCCACGGCATGCCAGCAACTGGTCTGCACAAACAAGCGAAGCTCCATCCACTGGATGCAGGCAGCACACAAACCACGCACCCTCCAGTCTGTGGAAAAACCTCTCTCCACGGAACCGGTCCCTGGTACCCAAAAGGTTGGAGACCTCTGGTTTAAGCAATCACAAGTCTGTAATTGTGTTATAAAAACCTTACAAAGTCACTACTTTGTCCTGGGTAGCAGACAGAGTGATTGAGAATAAGGAAAGGGGCGTTGTCTTACCTGAACGCCTTTTCTCAGCACGGAGATGGAGGATCCACCCATGGGTAGTAGACTGTATTCCTGCCCAATCAGATTAAGTCAGCCAAAGTTGCCACGCCCGTCCTGGACCATAGATTCCCAGTCTTGACGCGAGCGAAGCCATTGACTGACATAGGACGTACTGGCTCAGAAACTAAANGGTATTTGTTGACCCATCTGCTTCAGCTCCACATGAGAGAGATGAACAGATGTGAAATTCTTTAAAATCTGGAAGAATATGCAAAAATAATCCAACTTATTGTTCACATTTTCTTCAATGATAATGCTTTGTACATCTTAGAAAAATATTTAAACAAACAAGGCATTATCAATAAACTAAAAAATATATGCATCATAATACAAAAACCCCAATACACGAGAGGGGGGGGGAGAGGGAGAGAAGAGAGGGAGAGAGAGAGATTAGGGCAAAATATCAAAATTTAAATTTCCACTTTAAACTCTCTTAACATTTGGGTAAATACAAATTATCTAGGATTAACTATATTAGCAGTACTAAAAAGGGTAAGTAAATATTACAAAGAGTAACTTATTACTAAAAAGGAGACCATTTATAAAAGAAAATTCCTAAACTAGAAGATTTTTCAGGGTTCTCTTTTTTGTTATGTTAATTTTCTCTGCCAGGGCTATTTCCAACTTTATTAAATATTAATGATCCAGATTTTTTTTTTACTTTTTCAATGTTTATTTAATAATAAATGAAGACTCTAGCAGCATGAATTTAATTTTCCACACTGTATCATTTTATAAGATGGGCAATAAAGCCACTGGAATTAATTACCAAAGTAAGTTCTGTAATGTTTACTATTTCCTCAATCAAAAGAAGTGTGTGTGTGTGTGTGTGTGTGTGAGAGAGAGAGAGAGAGAGAGAGAGAGAGAGAGAGAGAGAGAGAGAGAGAGAGAATGAATTGCATGTGCAGGAAAGAAAATCAAACACCAACGTAATTGTGGTCCTTCCAACATAATCTATAAAGTCTTCGACTGATAGAATGCAAAATTGTAGGAAGGTTTAGTACCATATATGATTTTTTTATAATCAAATATTTATGCTTTGATAAAATGGAGTTTAAGGGAATTTTATACCAAAGAGTTCTAAGCTGACAGATCCTCTTATACAGATAGTCCTCGCTTAGCGACAATTGAGACCATGTTGTGGTCGCTAAATAAAAAATCACATGAGCACAACTGAGCTTGCAACCTTACTTCTCCTATGGTCATTAGGAGAAGCATCACATGACTAAGACTTAAAACTTAACTCTGCTTGTGGCAAGTCAGTGGCACCACACACAAAAGGTGAAGATGGGACAATGGCACGCTGCAATGATCATAAATGCAAAGATTGGTTGCAAAGTTATTTTTTAGTTATTTGGTCACTGCATGAGGCAGACAGTAAACAAGGTGTACCTATACTTTTAAAGGCTTTCAAGAGAACTCATACCTGCTATAAGAATTCTGTGTAAAATGGGAAGAGAATTTTTCCTTTTAAATGATGTGGCTGTACACCTTGCTTTAAGTATTGCCTAGTAACAATTAATGCCTAGTATTAATTTAATAAAAACACAAACATAATATTTAAAGTAACCTAACCATGAAATTAAATATAGAACAGCAGGTGGAAAGCTCCTCTATTTAATAACCTCTGTTTAATCATAAGCTGCATCATCTCTACAGTATATAAATCAAGTATCACTGCAACTGAGTTGTTGCAGAATAGAATTAATGGGCTAAATTTGGCTTCTGTATAAAGGCAGCTTCACTTCTTCATGCCATAAAAATCAACAAGATTTAATGAGTGGAAGTACCGATGCTGCAACATGATCAATATTTCACACAGCTGCTCAACCTACTGCTTAACAGGCAGCAGGCATTAAATGGTATGAAACAGGATGGAATTCCCTCCACTGTGTCCTATTTGCAAGATCAAAAGCCACTGGTGCCTTGATACGATGAAATTAAACTTTTCCTTCCATACCTTGATATGTCCACCAAAAGTATCAAAACTGAAGAATCTGCAGTCTTTGCCGGTATAGCAGGAATCTTCCATCTCTCCTGTGATTATGATGTTTCTGGTAAGAATTCCAACTTCTGCCCTCATATCCACTCCATCAACGATTTCTCCCATATGCAGGAACTGAGGCATTTCTGGTTCAAAAGAGAGAAAACAAATGAGAAAAGGATGAAAATGACACACCCTTCATTACTATAAATCAGGGGTCTTCAAACTTGGCCCTTTTATGATTTGTGGAGTTCAACTTCCAGAATTCCTCAGCCAGCTGGCTAAGGAATTCTGGGAATTGAAGTCCACAAGTCATAAAAGGGCCAAGTTTGGAGACCCCTGCTATAAATACAAGTAGCCAACCAGCTCATTTTAACTTCATTCAAAAAAAAGAAAAAAAAGCTACTTGCCTCTGAATAGGTTTACAAGGATTCGGGTTTTAACACTGCCTGAAAATACAATGCATCAAAAAGGAGAGTAGGAAGTTTTTTTTAACTTTTTTTTTTTTCATTTAGTACATGACAAAAAGTGGATTTCGCCTACATAAACTCTTGTTCTTTGAAAAAAATTTTTTTTTACCAGGCTTAGAATATTTTTCATAATTTAGGTTTATAGATCACTTGAGATATCCTTATTTATATGTTAACATTTTTATGTCTATCTGCTTTTCTGCTCTCCATCTTGCAGCTTATGTAGTGTAGTTGTGTTCAACATCATTGTTTTGGTAAGAAAATTGTTCTTGACTAAACATCACATCATCTCTTAATGGCGGGCCCTAAATTCCAAGTTTTTCCCAGTTAGGAAAAATGATTATTTTCAATAAGAATGAAACAAAAGCTTTACTGACACCTTATCTGAAGCATCAAGAACTTACAAAGTCTCATTCACCAGCTGATGACTGCAATGAGCAACAGGAATGCAAAGACTGTGGCATGCTATGACAAGGCTACGCAAAATTAGAATCTCTTTGTTATTCATACTATTTGTGAATATAGCTAAAAGGTTCTGAGAATAAGAAAAATGTTTCCATAATGGCAATGAAAGCAATGTTAAAGATCTAATCCTACGTATAGAAAATGATTGCTAGAAAGGAAAGAAAACTATGGGAATAGAAGTTCTACCAGGGAACCTGAGTGACTTCTTAAAATAATAGACTTGTTTTAAGTGATATCCTAGAATAATATATAATACTGTGGAAAAGTCTTGGGCCACCATCTGCTTTGTTGACCATCAACAAATGACCATCCATAATTATTTTTTGGTCCTGAATGCCACATCTTGAATATCCAGTTTGTTTGTTGATTTCCCTTTGAGAGTGCCCTTGCTGATACAAAATGATTTTTTGTCTGTCAAATTCTGTGATCTTTGGCATTTTAACTGGAATGATAGGACATAAAGTTGGTCTCATTAGCAAGCTTCCAATGAATTACAGGTAGCCCTCGAGTTACGATGACAATTGAGTCCAAAATTTATGTTGCTAAGTGAAACATTTGTTAAGTGAGTTTGCCCCATTTTACAATTTTTCTTCCCACATTTGTTAAGTGAATCATTGCATTTGTTAAGTTAGTAGCACAGTTGTTAAGTGAATCTGGCTTCCCCGTTGACGTTGCTTGTCAGAAGGCTGAAAAAGGAGATCACATGACCCCGGTACACTGCCACAGTCATAAATACAGTATGAGTCAGTTGCCAAGCATCTGAATTTTTAACATGTGACCATGGGGTTGCTGCAACGGTTGTAAGTGCGAAAAATGGTCATAAGTCACTTTTTTCAGTGCCGTTGTAACGGTCACTAAATGAACTGTTATAAGTCAAGGACTACCGGTACATTCACACAACATGTGTCTATACTGATGTAATGCTCAAGCATGTCTTACACAAACCTGGTGTAATAGACCTTTTTGCACAGTAGTCATTTTGGCAGGAATTCATAGGACACATACAAATGTTAGCAATCATAGTACTTAGGGTTCTGTTCCATTTAGGTTTACAGGAGGGGCCCCCCAACTCCCGGGCCATGGAACTGGGCTGCACAGCTGGAGGTGACTGGCAGGCGAGCAAGCAAAGCTTCATCTGTATTTGCAGCCGCTCCCAAGCACTAGCATCATCACCTCAGTTCCACCTCAGATGAACAGACATTAGATTCTGATAGGAAAACGAACCTTAATGTAAACTGCGCATGCAAAGGATCTAGGTTGTGTGCTTCTCATCTCCCCCCCACCCAGTCTGTGGAAAAATTGTCTTCCATAAAACTGGTTCCTGGTGCCAAAAAAGCTGGGGACCGCTGGTTTACAGCAGGGGTCCCCAACCCCTGGTCCGTGGACCAGCACCGCGCCGCGGCATGCCAGCAACCGGTCTGCACAAACAAGCAAAGCTCCATCCACTGGATGCAGGCAGCACACAAACCACGCACCCTCCGGTCTGTGGAAAAACCTCTCTCCATGGAACCAGTCCCTGGTACCCAAAAGGTTGGGGACCTCTGGTTTAAGCAATCACAAGTCTGTAATTGTGTTATAAAAATCTTACAAAGTCATTACTTTGTCCTGGGTAGCAGACAGAGTGATTGAGAATAAGAAAAGTGACGCTTTTAAAGGCACTTTAACGCTAAAGCAAGATTACAGCCAAGAATGTTTTGATTAACCACTCAGATTCTTAGCTATTTTATTTCAATATTTCTCGGACTTGCTGACTGAGCAATTTCCTTAGATTTGCAATTGCCTGCAGAAATACAACACCAGAAGGCAGAGAATCTGCAAAAAGCTTAGCATCCAATATAAGACCAGGAGCACATGTGCATGCATGTGAAGGGGCACAAGGCTAATGACTATAGATAAAGATACTTTACTGGTGCCAGCCTTGTCTTTGAGAAATTCTGCAAAGCAAAGGTTATGTAATGGAAGAATTGTTTTCAACTTGAGAGTGATGTGAAATATGCATTCAAAGCAATAATGCATAATACATATGCATGGATTATTGATCTGAATTGATGAGAAATATTACAATCGTACAATTCTCCATCTAAAACTTTGAATAAAGACCATTCAAGACTTCACTATTTTATTGATGTTCCTGGTGGGTTAGATCCAGTTAAATACATGAGAGTGGCCAAAGGTCATCTCACTTTGTTTCCCATCATAGCATTTCTATCTCTCTAATTATGTTATGTAAATCTACTGGACCGTCTAGACCAGGGATCTTCAAACTTGGCCCTTTTATGACTTGTTTACTTCAACTCCCAGAATTCCTCAGACAGCGTGCCTGGCTGATGAATTCTGGGAATTGAAGTCCACAAGTCATAAAAGGGCCAAGTTTGAAGACCCCTGGTCTAGACATAGAATGAGGGCCTGAATAGTGAAAGGGATTAAAATCAGCAGAGGTGCATTCTATGAGTTGATGCCATAAGGGAAAAAAATGCCAGCTAGCCCACATGCTTAATTGTAGACCAATCCATCATTCATGTCATCCTTGACTTACAACCGTATAGGGACCAGACCTTCTGTTGCTAAGCAATGCGGTCATTAAGTAGTTGCGCCCAATTTTATGAACTTGTTTGGAATAGTTGTTAAGGGAATCCAGTTTCTCCCACTGACTTGCTTATTGGAATTTCCTGGGAAGATCACAAAGGTAATCGTGTGACGTGAAGACACTGCAACCCTTGTACATACATGCTGGTTGCCCAATGCCTGAATTTTGATCACACGATTGAGGGAAAGCTGCGACAGCGGTTAAGTGTGAGGCCCAGTGTAAGCCATGTTTTTCAGTGCTGGTGTAACTTTACAGAGTTGTTAAACGAATTGCTGTAAGTCGAGGACTACCAAAATTGCATAAGACAGCATTCTCAGAAAAAAATAGCTTTCAATATGCCTGCACCCACAAACCAACTAAAACATGAACAATCCAACTGAAAATGAGAATCTGATGAGGCAGCGAAGATTTACTTTCTTCCAAATTCCATATGCTGTTGAAATGTGTGTTAAAAACTCAAATTTTGCCCCAAAACATTAGAATAGAATGCATACATGCATACACATCATGCGTGCTCATACACAGGTGCACCCACAAAGGAACACACTCACAGGCAATAGAACAAAGTGTCTTTATAGGTCAGAGAAGCTCTTTGGAATATTAGATTATCAAAATACTTAAATATGTAATGAAGACTCCAATTTATTTTTTATGAATTTATCTTCTATATTGGAAGCAAATATTTCCACATAAAAATGGCAGTTTCTTCATTAAAATATACAATTGTCGTGTTGCCTTATAAAGCGTAAAATTCTCTTTGCACTGAGTAACCTTTTGCTATGGAAAAATCATTTTTATTATTATTTTTGAATAAGACTAATGTGTTGAATCTTAGCACATTAATAATATAGCAGATCTTTGGCTTTATTATGGTGACTTCATTATGGCGACTTCATTATGGCTTTTTTTGGTAATAAATCATATATAGCAGAGGTCCCCAACCTTTTGGGTACCAGGGACCGGTTCCATGGAGAGAGGTTTTTCCATGGACTGGAGAATGCGTGGTTTTGTGTGCTGCCTGCATCCCGCGGATGGGGCTTTGCTTGTTTATGCGGACCGGTTGCTGGCATGCTGTGGCCCGGTACCGGTCCACGGACTGGGGACCCCTGATATATAGAATATAATTTTTCCCCAGACACAAATCCTTCAAACCAGTTGATGTTAAGATCTAATTCAGAATTAATTAATACTAGCATGCAAAGTACAACAGTTACAAAAAGAACATTTAATGCATAGAGGCTGTGATCGATGTTAACAGGTAAAGTGAAGTTGGTTTCTTGCACAAAAATCCAGCCTGACTGTACATGCCCGCGAAGTAGGAAGGTATGAAGCTCTTGACAGATTTTTGGAACGCTGAAGGAAACTGGATATTAAATGAATAGAAAGCTGAGGAACTGCTTCCATATGGGAATAGTTTGCTTGCCTTTCCTCATTCATGTGAGAGGCGATCGTGTTCGAAAGACGTCTACGACTTCAGACTCCAGATTCTCTTCGCTTCTTATTTTAAAGTGATCATTCTCCTACTCTAGGCATAAAGTTTGTCTTCCCCGTCGAGTGATGTCGTTGTATTTTAATAGGGCTCTTATAAATCCTAAGTGAACTTTAATTTCCGTAACCCCTTTTCTCTTTAAAGTTACAGTGGCTTTCTTGCAATATTAGGGCTATTCCTGTGTTATCTTCAGTCCCATCTAAATTAAAGTATAGTAATCTCTTCTTCACCACAGTAATAATCTGGCTGGGATGACATCATATTTTCCTGCCTTCTTACATCCATGCTCTACAACCTTAATAATACACATTCAATCCACTGCAAAATCACTTCCGAGGTGACACGTCCACCAGTTTCTAATTCTAATTCTTCTTGCAATCTTTAAGATAAATTAGAAATAAAGCAAGAAACGGTTCACTAAAAGTTAGCTCTTCTCTTAGAAGCTAAACTACTATTAAACCTTCAAATCATAATTAAAAATTAGATTTCAATAAATATTAATCATGAATTTTCAAAATAATTATAGAATCAGATGTTAACCATTTAATCATGCAAGTGCGATGGGCAATATAGAAATTTGATAAATAAATGATTATATTCATAGTGATTTTTACACCATTATTATACTTAAAGAATTCAAAGTTTACACTGACCTGATCCAGACATTATAATCACTACTAGCGTAACTCAGCTTAAATGGATGCCCCTAATCTGAATACACCTTCAAATCATACATTTAAGATCATTTATGAGTTACTTTAAAACAGCCATGCTTTCTGCTAAGAACAATAATTATGAGGACCAGAATAGAAGAATAGAATAGAGCTGGAAGGGACTTTGGAGATCTTCTAGTCCAGCGCCCTGCTCAAGCAGGAGAACCTATACCATTTCAGACAAGTGACTGTCCATTCTCATGTTAAAAGCCTCCAGTGATGGAGCCCCTTAATTCCAGGTTGCTTCTCTCTTTGATCAGTTTCTAACCATTGTTTCTCATCCTTCCCTCTGGTCCTTTGGAGAAGTTTGACCTCCTCTTCTTTGTGGCAGCCCCTCAAATACTGAAATACTGCTATCATGTCACCCCTATTTCTACTTTTCTTTAGACTAGCCAAACCCAAGTCCTGCAGTTGTTCTTCATATGTTTTAGTCTCCAGGCCTTTGATCATTTTAGTTGCTCTTCTCTGAACTTTTTCCAAGGTCTCAACATCTTTGTTGTTAGTATGGTGACCAAAATTGGTTGCAGTATTCCAGGTATGGTCTTACTAGGGTTTTATAAAGCGGTACTAATATTTCGCGTGATCTTGATTCTATGCCCCAGGATTGTATTACCTTTTTTGGCTGCTGCTGCACACTGTTGGCTCATAGTCAAGTGATCGTCCACTAGGACTCCAAGGTCCCTCTCACAGTTGCTGTTTTTGAGCCAGGTCTCACCTAATCTATACTTGTACCTTTGATTTTTCCTGTCTAAATGTAAAACTTTGCTTTTCTCCACATTAAAACTCTTTTTATTGGATAGAGCCTATTGTTCAAGTTTGTCAAGGAGATTATAGATTTAATATTTTTATAGTTGTTTAAGATTATTTAGAGTATGATTATTTCATTATTATTCCTGTGATTGACTCTGGGAAGTGGGGGGGAGGGAGGGGGGCTGAAGGGTGGGTTTGAGGGAGGGATTTATATTGTAAAATGTTATAAAATTTTCAATTAAAAAAAAAAAGATCTTTTTGGATCATGAGCTTGTCTTCTAGGGTGTTGACTATTCCTGCCAGCTTGGTGTCATCTGCAAATTTGATGAGTCCCCCTTCTATTCCATCATCTAAGTCATTAATGAAGATATTGAAGAGTACTGGTCCTAAGACCGAGCCTTGTGGTATCCCACTGCTTGCTTCTCTCCATGTGTATGTAGTACCATTGAGGATTACTTGCTGAGTATGGTTTGTCAGCCAGCGACAGATCCATCTGATGGTGTTGTTGTCTATCCCACTTATATATGATTTTGAGAGAGTGGGCAGATCTCCGCTATTTTCCAACCTCTGCAACATTTCACAAAATTCATAGAAAATTGTTTATTTTGTTTTGCATGTTTTTTCTCTACCAGAATATTATATTTCTTAATATCTCAGAAGCATTAGGCTGTGAAGAAATATAACATCTTGAACACACCTGTCTTATTGAGTAAGAATTTGCATCAAATTCTGGTTAGCCAGCCTTAGATGTAGTTATAGGCGGTGTTAGAAATCCAAGATAAGAAAAGGGCAAAGAGTAGGGGGGGGGGGGAAATGACCCCAATCTCTTAGTGAAGAGACCTGTACTAAAGTTTTACTGTTTGATGTGAGGTTAATTATCCTAATAACATTATTGTCCAACATGAGAAGTCATTTATCTCTATAGCAGGCATAAGACAAACACTAAAGAAACAATGGTATGCTAAATACTTCAGTGCTTAAGACAGCCACCCCAAATAAGGAAAATGCATGGGAGGCAGGAACAATAAAAAGGGAAAGTTTTATTTACAGATAATCAAAAATAATAGACATTTTTGCATTGGCATTGATCCAATTTTAGTTGAACAGACTCATCATTTGGACTATAAAAACGTGTATGTGGATGCAAATGTTTAATCAACTCAATGTCATGGTTCTGACAGATGAAATTCTTCAAAAGAACTTCGAGGCATTGTTTACCTTAGAGAATCTTTTATTCAAGAAACCAAGTATTGGCACTACATAGTTAAAGCCAAAAACTGAATTCACCTCCCCTGGGCACAAAGTAGCAAAGCACAAATCCCTCCTCCAATTAACAGTCATAAATCACATTCCCCAATTAGCTTGAAGTGCGGCCTTTCTCCCCAGTTCTCCAGCCCTGGGCGCAATAACCTTGGATTCCCACGGCTGAGTTATTATTGTTATGATTAAACTGGACTCTCATCCATATCCCCCCTCCCAGCATCAACTAACTCTAAAAAAGAAAGAGAAAAGATGGCTACATTCCCATGTGTTGTCAAAGCAAGAACATCCGATGTTAGCAGCATTGACATCCAGAGCAAATCAAATTCATTTCACATCTTACGAGCAAATAAATTTAAAGCAGTCTTTCCTTGTGCCTACAGAATCAATGCCATACATGCCACATCAGAGTCAATTGAGGATTTTAGACAGTGGTGGATATTAAGCACCTAGAAAAATATTCTCAAAGCAAAAAGTCACCAGGACTACATTAATGTCAAATAGCAGAACCATACGTTGTGAAAAAATACAAAGATTACTAGATACATTCATTTTTACTTCTCAGCTCTTACCTTTCACCTTGACTTGGTATTTGTTGCATTCTGGGCAAGGAAGGAGTGTAAATTCCTCTGTTTGATACATAGAGTAATCAGTGCTTGCTACAACAATCTGGTCTCCAGGCTCCCAACTGCTAACATCTTCTGACAAATCCATTATCACTCCATGCACAGCTTTAACCTGAAAACCCCATTTTGGAACACCTTGGAGCAAAAAATTAACAATTTTCTTGGTTCAATTTTTTTTTTTAAGTGACCACCTTTGCAAATGCTCAAACTGTATTACATCAAAACAGTTTAATGTACATGCAAATCAAATCAGCAAGACCAAAGGTTGCACAGAGCTAGAGTTGAAGTTGTTAAGTACTTTTTTCTTCGGTAACTCCCTATGATTTTTCACCCTTCTCCTTGCTACACTGCTATGTGCATAATTTTGAATGCAAAGTCAACATTATGGAGAAGTCAGAAAAGCTCTCCAACAGTCTTTCCAAGTTGAGGTTCCCAAGATATATGGATTTCAAGTCCAACATTCTCAGCAGTATCCTAGATAAGCCTTCTCCCTTCCTTGAACCATGCCATTTAAATTAAGGCCTGGTTCTATGGGCAGAGCTGAAGTTTCCTTTTCCCAATGCTAAGGGGCTACCTCACTCAGACTGGGAAGAAGCAATAAAGCATGGAGGAAAGAATTAAGGCTCTCCTTGAACTCAGTCCATCAGGTGTCATTACTACTTAACCCATTTCTGTCTCAGCAAGCATAGACAATGATTGCTCAGATGAAAAACAAGGCTGCATTGGCAGAATACTCCGAAGTTCATATTATTTTTATTTTACAATACAATCTGCCAGAACTGTATGTAATATTGAGCGGTGTGGTGGCTTAGTGGTGAAGACACTTGCGTCCCACTCGGAAGGTTACGAGTTCAATCCTAGGTAGCAGCAGATGTTTCTCTCCTAGGGTGCAAAGAAACTATTTGCTGTGAACTCCTTGTGGCATCAGGAAGGGCATCTGGCCAGTAAGCGCTCAGCTCCATCCAACTGCTCGACTCTACCCCGAATTAAGGGATTACAGGGAGTGCTGTATGTAATATGACTGAATGCACATCAGAATGTAACTGAAATGCCTGATATTAATTAATATAGTCAAAGCATTTGAATTAAAATCTAGATTGCTACCGGCTATGAGCTTTCCAATTTTGCCTATCTATAACAGACAGGAATCTAAGAATCTATTTTTTCTTTCATACTTGATATATCTCAATAAAGTTCATTTCTAATTTAAGAATATTTAATAAATCATTATGGTTTAAGTGTATTGATTAAAGAGCTACCAAAGCCATGATTTATTTTTCCTATTTAAAAGTAAGAAGATAGCATATGGCCATATGAAAAAAAACATTTTAATTAATTTCCGTTCCTTTTTAAGGTAAAAAAAGATTTTATATGATAGCTACAAGTTAACAGTTCTTCTACAAATATAAAAACATTGACGTTTTGTAAAAAAATAATGTCTCCTCAAAAAAATAAACAAACAGCAAAGCAATACTGGGGTTTTTTGCCAGCAGACTTATCTTTTATATTTATCCCCACATTCCATATTTCATGTGCTTATTAAAACAAAGACATAAAATAGCCATATAAACTTTAGATTTTTCTTTTTTTTACTTCTGTTCTCCAGATTACAGCTTCTTATGATCAACACAAGGTACATAGCAATAAGAGGTATTCAAAATATAGCAAAGCTAGCTGCACAAGATAACCAAAATATTTTTTTGTTATCTGGTTTTCTAAAAGAAAAAGAATAAAAATAGCATATTCCTACCAGCAATCCATTCACTGAAAGCCCTCACAATAAATTTCTGGCCATCCACTGTGAAAAATTCTTTCTCTGCAAGAGCCTGTCCTCCGGTATTGTGGTTTTCATAGTCCCTCACAGATTCATTACAAGATGAATTTCCGTCACCAATTACACTCACTAAAGCCCAGGCTTGCCTGTAAAAAGAGAGCACAACTTTTAATACTTATCCCAAACAGGGTTCCTTTAAAAAAAACCCCAATAATAATACATGCAACAATATCAGTATAAAAAAATCCCTCATCAATTTTCCAAATAAAAATACTTCTTCACTTCGATGCATTAAGAAATACTTCTTAGTTGTTCAATTTCATTTATCAGAAGTAGCTTTCCTCAGCTTAGTGTGCTTCAGTTGTTATTATGGTCATGGGACTACCAACCAGTCACAAACACTTGACATATTGTCTGGGGCTAATGGGAATTGTAATATTCTCATTTTGACAAGTATCCGGTAGTCACATGGCTGGAAAAGCTTGTTTTGATGTAGTCAAGAATTAATTCCCAGGAAAGGACTGCAGAAGTCTTTTGAACTTAAGTCTTCACACTTCTAAGCTCACATGCAAACCAAAAGAGATAAAAGCTTAAGGTGCTTACAGAAAAATATTAGATTTCAAATAATTTCACAATTTGGAAGTTGGCACTTTCCACTTAGTCTAACTTAAAACCCATTACCGTATATGTGAATCTTCTATGATAATAAAACAAAATTAGTAAAAGACCAAAGGATATCATTTTTTTTTTAAAAAAAAGTACCACTGGTTTTATTGGTTTAATCTTCTAAAATATTGTAAAGATTGATAGAGGCAGTATGTGTCAAGGAAGTTTTTAGTATGGGGATAAGCATTGTGCATGCTTGTTTAGCCAAAAGGAAGACAACTTTGAACTGAAGACACTTCCTCAAAAAAGGAAATTATATAAGAACAAAATTATAAATACTCTAAAAAAATCCTATCCATTTGCTGGGGTGGGGTGCGGGGGAAAGAAAGGAAATGAATCAGTCTGTGTCAGCTGGTGTGAAGGCTTCATTGCGGATACCCTATAAATTACTTGTTCAAACTAGAAAGTAAACCAAGATCAACCTCTCTTACTCCTCCTCCCTATCTCCTGACAATCTATAAATCCTTGACATGAAGTTTTGGTCTTTACAGCTACTCCTGGTTTCTATATTGGGTCTACTTTAAGACACCTTTGATTTCATAAGACCAGAACGAAGAGATTCCATTTTCTTTCCACCATAACTTTTTTCCCCTTCATTGTGTGCTTACAGGTATTAACATTTCTAGCAAATGATTTCACTTACAATATCTAGAACTGTTCGGGAAGGAACTGTTTTCATTAAAAAAAAAAAAGTCCTTGAAATTGTTTGGTAAACATGCCATCTAATTAACTTAAAAAAACCTGTTTCAGTCTTAAACACAAGAGGAAAATAATCTTACTGCTATGACTTTGGTTCTGGAAATACAATAGATGAGCAATTTTAGGACAGAAATGTTAGAATAATATTTCAGGGGCTTAATTAAGAAATAGGATTAATTATAAAATATTATTTTACAATGATGAATAACTTTTAGAAATGTAGTTGATGTTTAAGTCCATTACAATTCCTATTTTGCTGAAGATGCAATTTTCAAATGCAACAGTAAGATGTATTTGTTTCCATCAAACCATTTAAAAAAAAAATAGGGAAAAAAACCAGTTTCTATTTACATATAACTATTTCTCTTGTTAATGTTGGATCTAGAATTTGGTACCTCAGTTTCTAAACTCTTGGCTAAATTTTGTGGTTGCTTAGAAGAGACCAAGGTCAGAATATACAATAACTTTGTTTTATTATGATGTTAAAATTTCCCACAGTTTTAAGTTACTGCCTTTTTCTCTTGAACTGAAAAAAATTCCCCGAGAGATGCTAGATTTGTAGCTTATCAAGCTGTAGCTATTACCGGCTTCTTTAAAGCAAGAATGAAACCTCATTTTCCAAGACCCTCAATTCCAGGTCAAAGTCAAGATGATGACAGGCAGCAAGTTGATGCAAAGAGGAATAACAATATGATTTAATCTGTTTTGACAACATGGAACTAAAAAGGAAAGAATATTCAGTTGAGTCAAAGGATTTAAAAAACCACAGATTGCATCTGTGGATGGAATTCAGTCTAATTTTAATAGACTCTAGCACAATAAAATTTCCTTCTCCCACTTCTCAAAATCTGCTTTGAAAAGTGGAATTTTCTGAATCTAATTTTGAGGACATAGCTAATTTTGAGGATAGAATACATTTTTACAGTTTCAATTTCTAGAGGAGGATTAATGAAACTGCTCTCACTGTCAGAAATATGCCACTGGTACTCTAATAAATTTAATACACTGAACATGATGATTTTTACGATCAAATCCTAATTAGTTCAGGGAATTTTCATGAGTCATTTGCAAATTGAGCAGCCTATAAGCCAAATAAAATAAGTTAAAACACACCACCCAGATTGTTTCTATTTGTTTTAGGGCTATCTGCAAATTGAGTGTTTCAAAACATTAGTAAAGCACAAAAATTGGTTAAATAACAACGTGCAAAATAGTTCTTTGCATGTTACCAAAATAACAGACTTGGCAATTTGCACAACATCATTATGGAATTACATGGTTTAGAAAACCATGTTTTGGGGCCCGATTTATGATTTATTTCTTCTAGACAGACTGTGTTTGCTTGACTGTTTCAGCTATGACCTGATATAGATTCTTAAGATGATACTAATATCCTGAAAACACTTTTGAATTTGCAATTTTCTTCCTCCTTCTTTTTCTTTTCTCTGCTTCCTTCCTTCCTTTTCTTCCTATTCTCTCTCTCTCTCTCTCTCTCTCTCTCACATACACACACACACACATCCCCCCCTTTTGTGTTGGCAGTGCACACTCTTGATTAAGATACAGAGAGTCTCATAATCAATTCACAGCTATTTTTAATAATGGACTATAAGAATTTTTCTGGATATAGCACATAATCCTAACATGTTTCTCTCTGGGATTAGGCATTATTATTATTAATTTATCTTTAAACAGTTAGTAGGAAAGGCTGCTTAAGTACGGTAATCATTAAACTCATTCTACTTAACAGATGCCTCATCTCTACAGCTCAACAAATCCCACAGCAGTCAAAACTAATAATGTTGCTATGAAGTAATTCCTCTAGTGAGGAATGTATCAAACATAATAATCCCCCACAAATCAATCAGAAATAACAACTTCTTGAACGATATTCAGTCACTTGTACAATCATTATAATTACAATTCAATTATTTCTACTGATTTATAAACCACACATTTCAACAGCTTTCCCTAGTGTTGGGAAGTATAGATTTCAATTCTCAGAATCCCCTAATTCAAGGGTCTCCAATCCGATCCATGGACCGGCAACGGTCCATGGCATGCCAGAAACTGGTCCATGCAAACCAACCACGCCCTCTCCGGTCCATGGAAAAACCTCTCTCCATGGAACCGGTCCCTGGTGCCCAAAACGTTGGGGGCCTCTGCCATAATTAGTATAATCATTGCTGAGAAATTTTGGAGTTATAGTCAATATATCTGATTTGGGAAAGATTATTTTAACCGCCATTCTATTTTACTGAAAACAATAGCTTAGTAAAGGTAGCCTTCAACTTACAGTTCATTTAGTGACCGTGCAAAGTTACAGCAGCACTGAAAAAAGTGACTTATGACTGTTTTTCATATTTATTACTGTTGCAGCATCTCCATGGTCACGTGATCAAAATTCAGACTCTTGGCAACTGACTCACATTTATGACCGTTGCAGTGTGCCGGGTTCATGTGATCACCTTTTGTGTCAATGGGAAAGCCAGATTCAGTTAACAACTGTGTCACTAACTTAACAACTGCAGTGATTCAGTTAACAACTGTGGCAAGAAAGCTTGTAAAATAGGGCAAAATTCATTTAACTGTCTTGGTTAGAAACAGAAGTTTTGGGCTCAATTGTGTCAAGGACTACCTGTACAGCACAGTGAATTTTTTGAAGAAATCCACTGTAAGACATTATTAGGACCAATCAAACTGTGAAAAGAAAGCTATGTGCTTTGTGAACATCACAATACTTGATCAAAGCAAAATTTTACATAATTTGCAAAGGGGGGAGAGAAAAGAGAGAGATGATTGAAGATTTAAAGAATCAGTATTTGCTCAGTTTATTCCAATGCTTAAGATTTTTGGACTAATCAGCAGTTTTACTCTCAATTTGAAGGACAAAAGCAGTTATTAATACCAGTTTATAGTCTTATGCAAAAGATACTGGTTCTTAGTTAGGCAGATAAATGGCAGCCTTGAAAATTTAGGCATGCAATTCAAACTGGTGCAATTGGACATCAAGCTTTTACAGGGCTCTAACTACATCCTTACATCCCTACATGCTAAACTCTTAACTTTTCCTCTGCAAGGATCAAACGGTTTACACAAGAAATGCATCCAAAGATGGAGCCACACTAAAATCAAGCAGCAATATCTATTCCTGAAATACCCGGTTTCCTAGATGCTAAGAAAATTTACCCAAGAGTTTGGTAAAGAACACCACAGCTTTTGAAAGAAACTTTACGGTTTTAGGCATTTTTGCCAAAGGCTGGTTGGTCCCTCCCCCTTTTTAAAAAAATTACAAATAGGTTAAAGCTGCTCTCTTTTCCTGTGCAGTCATTTTACTGTGTGTGTGAGAGGGGGGGGTGTATAAGTTGTTGTTTGTAAACGCTGATGCATTAACAAATATTAAGGAACAGAGTTTATTATCATAATATGTACAAAATATTCAAGCTGGACATTCTTCCATATAGCTCAATGCTGCATCCTTAACTACAGCATCTTATGATGTTCATCAACCTTCAAAAACATAGTTAGCATCATGGGGATGTGGGGAGGAAGAAAATCCCTTCTGTTCAATCTCCCTACTGCTGACAGACAAAAGCAGTATCTATGACCTGTGACATTCAAATCAAGCTTTTCTGATGATTTTTAACTTCTTTTAAGGACTACAGAAGATAAATGTAGCCACTGATGCTTGATTCTCATTCTTTTATCTTCTCATAATCCCTTTTAATAGGCCTTTATCCTCTTTTAGAATATTAAGGAAATTAGCATAAGAGGTACTCTTATTCTACATTTCATTAAAAGAATAATTTCAAAATCAGGCCAATGTCTTTAAGTGATTTCTCAGAATAGATATACCCGAGTAGGCAATAAATACATATTTAGATTGTATTAATATGTTTAAATGCCACTCTTAACAAATCCATCTGTGCATGCCTCCTTTAGATGTACATGTAGAGTCATTAATTTCCCAATTGTCAAAGCCAAAACATCTGGTTGCCTTGTGCATTATGAAGGGCAGAACTGACTTTCACACTGCTGGCTATTAAAATGTATAATCAAATCATACAGATTATAAAACAGTTTGCAATAAAAAATAAAATAGAAGGGTAAGAGTCTGTTTTCTTTGCCAGTGCCAGAGTAGGCTAATACATGTAACTGAAAATATTGTGGATTAAATCTAGGCATTAACCTAACTAAAATTTTCTTATCCCATCCTCCTATTGCCAGCCTTTTGAGTAACCCTGAAAGTGTTTTCTTGAATTTTAGAGACAATGTTGAGCAGACTAGTTAAACTGCAAGTACAAAATAGGAAGGGAAATATTGAATAAAATTGGGCAACAATATATTTGGCTCTATAGAGGATGCCCTGCCCACTATCCTGCAATATCCTTCCTCTTTAGGTCCCAAGTCTTCAATCATTTCTACCCAGCAAGGCCTCTTATCTTTCAAAGAACATTTTTATTGCCAATCAGGGGAGAAGTCCTGGATATTTGAACGTGTCCTGGAAATCTATTTTTATACCAAATGATCAATACTGCCTAATAATGGGTATGCATTCAATTTTTCAGAAGAAACCAGCATGGAGATATTTCTGCTTAACCATTTCTCAACAAACAGCATTAATACTTAATGCAAAAAGCAGTAACATTAAATGTGAGGGGAGACTGGGGTGTGAATTTGAACAGAAAATAAACAGCATTTGTTTAAATATATACTGTGCAATTGAATTTGGAACATGGAATTGCTTTATGTATTTTTCATGCCATAATCAATTGGCCTGGGGTGGAGGTAGGAAATATATATTTTTTTCCTTAGACGCTGAGGAGGAAAGTTAAGTTGTCTGAGGCTGTTTTTAGAGAGTATAAGGTTATTTTTGTTGCTTTTGCTCACTTCAACCAGATATTATTTACCCAGAGTTTAATGGCAAGCGGCTAGCCATGTGCATCAAAAAATAAATTTATCACTTAGGTTGGAGTTGGGGGTAGTTTAATGTCTTTTGTAAGAATTATCAGAATTGTGAAGTGTTGATAATTGTTATGAAATTTCCTGATGCGGCTCTGCAAATCATACTCAACAGAAATGTGTTTAGTCTTTATATTTATGCATTAAAATAAGCTGAGGTCAGATCTCAACTAATATAAGGACCACCTTTAAAAGAATTGGTTAACCAAGAGTATGGAGATTTTTTGCAAAAGCATTTTTTTACCTATAACTCAATCCTTTAACGAGCTTACTTCCCAGAAGATCCTGAATGATTCTTTTGGTTTCCTCTAGTAGATTTTTAGCAGCTGAGTCTGCTACAGCAATAGCAACAATGCGACCAAAATGTTGAGTCTTTAGAAAATCCTCAAGTCTTTTGCTGTCATTGTGAGATTCATGAGTATCAAACCTCTCCGTTTCCAAAACCTCTGCAGTGTCTTGGTCAATCACTCTCACGTGCAGAGCTCGGAAAAACTCATTTTCAAATGTGTAGGATCCAGAGGCCAGCCCTGAAGAATACAGAGTCTTTGACAAGGAAGTCCATGATAATTTCTGAGAGCCATGCAATTCCAGTGTTCCACCAGGGCCCACGCCCACAAATTTTTCACCAAATGTTGGCACATAATCACCTTCGTTTAATTTGCCGTATAAGATTATAGTTGCTTTGGACTTATAGCGACATTTTTCTGCTCCAATATGAAGCATTCCACCATCCTTTATCAGGATAAAACGTGTTTTCAGGGTAATATGTTTAGATCCATTTTCATCATCCCCAAAGACAAGTAATCCTGTAGGAAATAATATTGTTAGGTAAGCAATTCTTAAATATGTAACAACAACATATACATTGCTTTACGTGAGGACAGAAAATCACTGAGTACTCTCTGACCAGCACTATACAGATAACCTTTAGAGTAGAAATCCCAGGTTGCATAAAATACCATGAGTATATTTGGGGTTAAACTGGAGCTTTTGATATGTTTGTATCATACTTGCCAAAATACCCCCAAACAAACTGATAACTTTTTCTTACTATTAGCCATAAATGCTAATATGGCATTGATACGATAAAGCTGAAAAACCTAAGACTACTCTTTATAAAATCATTATTTACGAAAAGCAAGATGATGGTAAAGGTCCTTTATGGTTGTTCTTCAGGAATCTTCTGCTGACAGTCAATGTATGGCAGACTGTAACTTGGAAAGCACGAAGAATATATAGTATTAAGAATAAATTAATGAATGAAGGGAAAAATAAACATCTTCTGGATATTGAAGGTAAGAGAAATGGAAAGAATATAATATAATTGAAGAAAGATGGTCTGATCTTGCTGAGCAGGGTTGATTAATACATGCAGAGAGATAAAGGCTAAAAAGTATGCTAGAAAATATGATATTCTCTAGTTTGTTGTGGATCCATACAAAAATAGGAGTTCAAAGATAGATGAGCACTGTTTATTACATTCCACTAAATAATGGTAATGGGGAAAAAAAAACAAGTTTGGGGGAAATTGTGTAACATTCTGAATAAATGAGATAGGGGAAAGATTATTCCATTAGGTGATGTCAGTGCTTTTTTTCTAAAAAAAAAAAAAAAGGTGCCGGAACTCACACACGTCATACAACCCGCCTTGCCTACCCTACAAGGTTCCATCCAAAAAAGGTGCCGGAACTCCGTTCTGGGCGTTCCATGAGAAAAAAAGCCCTGGGTGATGTGAATGGATATCAGGAAGAAGAAAGTAGGGGAAAAAATTATCTGGATATTTGGAGACTCAAGAATAAATGAGATTGGTGGTGGCAAGTATCCGCTTAGAAATATATATGATTTAAATACTATTGACTTCATTTATATACATGGGGAATGAACGAATAAAAAAGCATGTCTGATTTGATTGTTTATGATGAAAGAGTTAAAAATTACGAAGGGCATTGAAAGTAATGAGAGGTTCTGAAGGTGAGACATAGCAGTCTTCAATGGTGTCAAGAGTGGAGCCTGTAGAAAAAATAGAATGGAAGAAGTACAAGTGAAAGGGAATTACTGCAGAGACAAAGGGCAAGCCCTGTTTGAATAGATTAGAATATAGATTACTCTCACTACAGAATAGATGGAAAATGGATATAAGAAAAGGGATGTGGAAATTGCTTACAACAGTGGTTTGCAGACAGGTGGAGGGGGGATGGTTCAATGCGACCAGCAGGCAAGTGTGTGCAGCTCCATTTGTGCGAATGGCATTTGTGCCCGCGTGCACGCCGCTCACCAAATGGAGCTGTGCACACACACGCTCACCTGCCACTTCTGTGACCTGGTTCCAAACGGGCTGTGGCCATGGGCCCCCTCTGGCTTAGAACCAAATGAAAATAATGTGTTATAGAATGCCATAGAACAAGGGTAGGCAACCTTGGCTCTTTTATGACTCGTGGACGTCAACTCTCAGAATTCCTGAGCCAGCCATGCTGGCTCAGGAATTCTGGGAGCTGAAGTCCACGAGTCATAAAAGAGCCAAGGTTGCCTACCCCTGCCATAGAAGAATACTGAGTTTCGCCAATGGGACGTATGAAAAATGTTTGGTAGAATGATGAATTGAAAGCTCTAGCTAAATGCAAAAATCTAGAATGATACAAATTTTTATACCTTTGTAAAATTTAATTTAAAGATGGGGAAATGTATAGAGAAATATTAAGGTCTGCCAATGATTATTGAAATACAGATTCAAAAGTACTGTGTTGTGATCTTTTGCAAAGAAGATAGGAGAATGTGTAAGAGAATGTTTCTGCCCGACTTGTTCAGCTGAAGTGAGAACTAGACATATCAGGATAAGTAAGTTGAAAGCAATGAGGAACGTGGGTGGTAGAACAAGAAGCAATATGCTATAATAAATAGGCAATGAATGAGTGTGGATTTAATTCAAAGTATGAAAGAAGTACATTCTTGGGGCTTGGTCATACAAAGGATGGATAAGGACTAAACAGCAGTGAAAAATGTAAATAGGCATTAAAATTTAAAGATATATTGTATGCTGTCTTGCTAAATATGGCCACTGTCTCGTAAAGTTATCAGTCAAGCTTATTGTGTAAGGTTCCTAAAACACTGATGGCTAAGCAGTATTTAATTTGCTTGGTATATCTGGCAGAGCAGCAAGAAATACAATAAAAGATGAGGGTGAAGGTTCGTTCTCCGAACATTTCATTACCAGGCTAGGTAACATCTTCAGCAGACTTTAGGGGATGTCAGTATCAGTGCTCTGTTTATAAGGCCCTCAGGTACGGGTGTGTAGAATGAAGGTCTTGTGATGGGTCAGGTGTGAGTCATCAGTGAGTCTTGTAATGGATCTTGTGAGGGTTTTTTTTACATCAGTCAGGGTCATTGGGAGGTGAACTGCTGGGGGGGCTTGCGTGGGTTGGTTGAGGGCCTGGCACACCACAAGCAATTCCATCAACAGACACACTGATCTACAACCAGCCTATAACCAATCACAAGACCCATTAAAAGACTCACTGATCACTCACACCTGGCCCATCACAAGACCCGTCTCATGACCCTCACTCGACACACCCATACCTGAGGCCCTTATAAACAGAAGAACACTGACACTTTGACATCCTTTAAACTCCACTGAAGATGTTACCTAGCCTGGTAACAAAATGTTTGGAAACGAACCCACAAGCTCAACCACAAGAAGCAACCTAGAACTAAGGAGAAATTTCCTGACAGTTAGAACAATCAAGCAGTGGAACCACCTGCCTCCAGAAGTTGTGCATGCTCCAACACTGGAATTTTTTAAGAAGAGACTGGACCATTTGTCTGAAATGATATAGGGTTTCCTGCCTGAGCAGGGGGTTGGACTAGAAGACCTCCAAGGTCCCTTCCAACTTGTTGTTGATGATGATGATAGTGATGATGCTCGGAGAACAAACCTTCACCCTTATCCTACACCTGAGCTACAAATATTTGCCACTATTGCATACAATAAAATATTCCACATAGTAATAAAGGCTAAAAATAGACACAAGAGCAGAAAAGAGCAAAGCAAAAAAATATATATGCAGATGTATAGGCCAAGATGGTTTTAAATAAAAAAAGGGATTGGCTAGAGATATACAGTTTTAATAGCTACTTAATGATGTCTTATTTACTACAGTTACAGTCAGAGTGAGAAAGAGAAAACTACTACAAAACTTGCTACAAATGGCGGAAACAAAACAAGTTACAAAATGGGTACCTGGTAGAATTTTTATCTAAATAAGAAAAAGAGAAAAAACAGTGTTCTCGGGCAAATAATCTGGGTGAGAGGAAACCTATCTTCTTTTTTGCCATTGTTTTCTACATTACACTTTACAGAGTTAACTGGTGTAATTTAGTGTGCATTTTCTCCCTTTGCTTCTTCCCAGAAATATTCTTGAGCAACTTTTCCAAATTGTTTCTACTGGCTTGGAACATTGGAAATTCTCACTTCAAACCCTCTAGGAGACAGCTTGGTCAACCACCGTTATATTTTATCAGACTAGCTGTGTGTTCTTCTCCAAAGGACAGGAAATGAACTGGGAGGAGACTTCCTTCTGGATAAAATTATTTGAAGTATCTATTCTAAACTTGTGTGGTTATTCAACCATTTTTTCCTTCTTCAGATATCACTTGCAGTAAATATGGATAACTGCCAAGATGCACAGCAATCCTGACATATGTGGATTTTTGTAATTGGCAGCACGACAGCTGTAATTTCTTGGAACTCTATTAATAGCCTGAACGGATAGTTTTTCAAAAGTTGTCAAATGAAATAACAANAGACCAGGGAAGAGCTATTTTGTGGGGAAATATTTTGAGAATTCAACGATGGGTCTCTAACCTGCAAATCTAATTCTGATCCTGAGAGCCAAACCTTGAGACGTCTGCAAGAGCTTGAGACCAAGATAAGACTGGATCTCACAGCAACAGGGGGCGTGTCAAAGTTTGGCTACTTGGTCTCAGGAGCAGGCATCCAATGGAAACCCACCGGTGGATTCTCCATCTCCTGTACTGGAGAAGAAGTACATTCTTGAGGCTTGGTCATACAAAGGATGGACAAGGACTAAACAGCAGTGAAAAATGTAAATATGCATTAAAATTTAAAGATATATTGTATGCGGTCTTGCTAAATATGGTCACTGTCTCATAAAGTTATCAGTCAAGCTTATTGTGTAAGGTTCCTAAAACACTGATGGCTAAGCAGTATTTAATTTGCTTGGTAAATTAAATACTTGCTTGGTAGAAATGATTGCTTGGCAGAGCAGCAAGAAATACAATAAAAGATGAGGGTGAAGGTTTGTTCTCCGAACATTTCATTACCAGGCTAGGTAACATCTTCAGCAGACTTTAGGGGATGTCAGTATCAGTGCTCTGTTTATAAGGCCCTCAGGTACGGGTGTGTAGAATGAAGGTCTTGTGATGGGTCAGGTGTGAGTCATCAGTGAGTCTTGTAATGGATCTTGTGAGGGTTTTTTTTACATCAGTCAGGGTCATTGGGAGGTGAACTGCTGGGGGGGGGGCTTGCGTGGGTTGGTTGAGGGCCTGGCACACCACAAGCAATTCCATCAACAGACACACTGATCTACAACCAGCCTATAACCAATCACAAGACCCATTAAAAGACTCACTGATGACTCACACCTGGCCCATCACAAGACCCGTCTCATGACCCTCACTCGACACACCCATACCTGAGGCCCTTATAAACAAAAGAACACTGACACTTTGACATCCTTTAAACTCCACTGAAGATGTTACCTAGCCTGGTAACAAAATGTTTGGAAACGAACCCACAAGCTCAACCACAAGAAGCAACCTAGAACTAAGGAGAAATTTCCTGACAGTTAGAACAATCAAGCAGTGGAACCACCTGCCTCCAGAAGTTGTGCATGCTCCAACACTGGAATTTTTTAAGAAGAGACTGGACCATTTGTCTGAAATGATATAGGGTTTCCTGCCTGAGCAGGGGGTTGGACTAGAAGACCTCCAAGGTCCCTTCCAACTTGTTGTTGATGATGATGATAGTGATGATGCTCGGAGAACAAACCTTCACACTCATCCTACACCTGAGCTACAAATATTTGCCACTATTGCATACAATAAAATATTCCACATAGTAATAAAGGCTAAAAATAGACACAAGAGCAGAAAAGAGCAAAGCAAAAAAATATATATGCAGATGTATAGGCCAAGATGGTTTTAAATAAAAAAAGGGATTGGCTAGAGATATACAGTTTTAATAGCTACTTAATGATGTCTTATTTACTACAGTTACAGTCAGAGTGAGAAAGAGAAAACTACTACAAAACTTGCTACAAATGGCGGAAACAAAACAAGTTACAAAATGGGTACCTGGTAGAATTTTTATATAAATAAGAAAAAGAGAAAAAACAGTGTTCTCGGGCAAATAATCTGGGTGAGAGGAAACCTATCTTCTTTTTTGCCATTGTTTTCTACATTACACTTTACAGAGTTAACTGGTGTAATTTAGTGTTCATTTTCTCCCTTTGCTTCTTCCCAGAAATATTCTTGAGCAACTTTTCCAAATTGTTTCTACTGGCTTGGAACATTGGAAATTCTCACTTCAAACCCTCTAGGAGACAGCTTGGTCAACCACCATTATATTTTATCAGACTAGCTGTGTGTTCTTCTCCAAAGGACAGGAAATGAACTGGGAGGAGACTTCCTTCTGGATAAAATTATTTGAAGTATCTGTTCTAAACTTGTGTGGTTATTCAACCATTTTTTCCTTCTTCAGATATCACTTGCAGTAAATATGGATAACTGCCAAGATGCACAGCAATCCTGACATATGTGGATTTTTGTAATTGGCAGCACGACAGCTGTAATTTCTTGGAACTCTATTAATAGCCTGAACGGATAGTTTTTCAAAAGTTGTCAAATGAAATAACAATGAACATGATAATTGTTGTAACTACCCAAAGTAGAGAAAAACAATCTTAGCAATGAGCCAATTCATACTACCTTAATTCAATGAATGTTTCCCTGGTCTTTTTAATCATACCAGATTTTAAAATGCAACATGATGGCTAGGATTGCCATAAGACTCTATGGATTTCTCTGGCAAAATAGGTTTCTTTGTGGATAACAATGACAAAAATGGAACCTTTGTGCCAATGAATGTTATTTATTGTAAGAAAACTGGCAAAAAAAATATTCATTTTTCTTCCTTTCAGTTAATAGCAGTACTGCTGCACACAACTATTAAAATAAAATAAAGACAATGTCAAGGGTCAAAGTCTAATAATGGAGACAAATGCATTAACTGTGTACATGATTGCCCAATTCGGGCATACAACTAGGGGAGATATTTTTTGTAAAAGAAATTAAGAGCATGTCTTTACTCATCTTATCCCAAAAGGCCAGTTTTCTGGACAAAAATGAATGAAGCTGGGGAAAACTTTACATAGATTAAAGAACGATGGGTGAGAACTATGCTTCTGTCATCTGAATAACTTTTAATGCACAATGTAGATTCCCCCCCCCCCAGATGCCTGCTCTATTCAGCAAATAACTGCAGCTAACACACAAATAAATAAAAATACTTGCCCTCGTCCCATTCAGTTTAGCATTATGAACAGCTTTGCATACCTCCATCCTGTATAACTATGGAATGCACAGTGGCATCCACATTCAGACGGAAGAGATCTCCTTTTTGGACTACGATTCTCTTTTCTCTATCATGTCCTGGATTCCAGTTTTTAAGGCGTGGATTTTGATCTGGACAATTCTCTGTAATACAGTGGGATAATAATTACAATTAAAGTACTATAGTGTTCAGAAAAGTAGTAGAGCAGTGATAATACACCACTTACTATGCTAATTTTTAATCAAATTAAAATGCCCACAATTGAAAACAAATTCCTATAGATGAATGGATATTTTAATGTTATAGTCCACTAAATTTTGAATATTCCACAAAACCTTGTCTGATGAGTAAGGTGCCCTTTCTTGCAATTTATGTACTGAAATCAAACTACATTGTAGATTAGTCTTCTCCAGACATGTTGGACTAAATTCTCAATCATCTACAAATGCCATAGCCACTGACTGATCTGACTGCTGTCATTAAATGTAGCTGAAGTCCTGACTGGGGATGACAAGGATCATTCTCAACAAGTACCGGTAGGGAAGGTGCTGATTGGAGAAGTCTTACTGAAGTAGGTATGTACCCAAAACTTTCTTTCCAGAACAAGCTCTACTAATTTAGGACCCCTCTAATTTAGACAGGAAACTATTAAGAGGTCCTCCCTTGGTTTTTCATCAGTAAATAAAATAACTCATTTGCTTTTAAAAATAATTTCATTTTTTGACAACTTCAGCATTTGGGAAATGTTTCAGGAAAAACAAATTTAACCACTACTAAAGTCACTTGAAGATCCTCCGACATGGCATTAGGGGCATTTATTCTACAAGATCTTAAAAACTTTTTAGTGATAGAAATTGCTAAATTCTGTAGTCCCCTTCTCTGTTCCAATATGTATAGCACATCTGAAAAAAAAACCTCTCTTCACTCTCAATTTTAGTATTATTTGTGTAAATACTCCTAGATTGGAAGTCATTGTTGTTGTAATTATTTTTCCTGGGAGGTCTTGTATAATTTTTTTAGATTTTTAACAAAAAAAACCCTGGTGTCCAGATCCTTATGACACAGATATGCAGATATGCACACAGTATACTAATTTAGCTTCGCTTTAAACAACACAAAATAAAAATGACTCTTTTTTGTTAAAAGCTTATTTGAGCAATGAATGCCAACAGATTTCTCTACCCACTAGGAGAGATTGTTATATTGTTAATTATCTGTGAGGGAGATATTAGCAATAGATGCAATAGATTAGCAACAAATGCAACTAACATGTAAGAATAGTTGAACATCACTCTGTGCATAAAACATTCTGAATCCTAAATGCCTAATCCGAAAATATTTAAGATTCCACAGGACTTCCCACTTTATATTACATTTCATATTGGCTCCCAGGAATATGAATAAATGGGAAAATGTGTTTTGTTCTGAGCCTGAAACAAGGCATCTCATTTAAAATATTCCATTAAAACATGTCAAGCTGCCTGAGGTTTGGCAGAAAAATTTAAGTGCCTCCATATATGTTGAAACAAAACTTTAAATGTTTTGACTGCTTGGACCATAGGAAACAATGGTAACACAGAAGTCTCTTTTACCTTTTTTATTATTTTATGATCCTAATAGATGAGGCAGGACACTTGTGCTGAATTTTACCAGGGAGCTAGCTTGTAAAAAGACTGGAATAAATAGGGGAATAAATTCAGTACTTTCTAAAAAAATTCCATTAGTTTTCTCCTCTTTCCTCTCCACCTTGTTGCTTTAACTTTCTTCCTTTTCTTTGGGATGTGTTAACTGAAGCAATGTGAAGAGACATGACTAGGTTGGTTCTTTACAACATAGGGAGACTTCTTCCCCTGTCTTAGTCTCATCCAACTTTCAAATCAATTGCTTTATCCGGGGTATGAGAACCACCTGGCAGAAAATGAATACCAGTCTATTAATTCAAATGGTATTTGCATGTATATGTTTCAAATGTTGCAAATACATTTGAAGCACATATATGCACAAATATACAACCTAAGTTGTGCACACAAGAAAATTTACCTAGTTGGGAACAAAGACAGGTTCCTCCTATCCCAGCATTTAAAGAACCACCTGCAGGTTTACTCTCCCAACCCCTATCACCCTGGCATTGACTGGCTTTGTAAAAAATCATAGAATCATAGGGCTGGAAGGGACCTGTGGAAGAGTCTTCTAATCCAATCTCCTGTTCAAGGCAGGAGACCATATACCATCCTGATCAAATGGCTGTCTAGTCTATTTTTGAAAACCTCCAATAATGGAGCACCCAACAACCCCAAGAAGTAAGTTATTCCATTGATTGGTTGCTCTCATTGTCAGAAAATTTCCCCTAGGTTATATCTCTCTTTGACAAGCTTCCACCCATTATTTCTTGTCATGCTCGCTGTTGCCCTAGATCAGGGGTAGGCAACCTTGGCTCTTTTATGACTCATGGACTTCAACTCCCAGAATTCCTGAGCCAGCATGGCTCAGCTTGGAAACTTCTCTCTTTCCCCTCAGTGCGGCTGGCTCAGGAATTCTGGGAGTTGGAAGTCCACGAGTCATAAAAGAGCCAAGGTTACCTACCCCTGCCCTAGATAACAAGTCAATCCCCTCTTCTTTGTGACAGCCCCTCAAGTACTGAAAGACAGCTATCATATCCCCACCAATCCTTCTCATTGATAGGCTAGTCGAGTATCTAGATTCTTCAACTGTTGCAATTTTTGCCTGACAGAATGGGAACATTACAGAAGGAATTGTTAGCTGCTATGGCCAGGAAAGAGTCTCCACCTGGAAAATCACCAAAAAAAAGCCACCCTTTCCTGATGGGCTGCCTGTATTTACATTGCTTAGTAGCAGGCAAAACAAAGGAATCCCTACTAATCGTGGGTACATCCTTACTCAGCAAAGTACTGTAACTGTTTATTTTGCAGTTAAAATGTGAAAGGGATAGAAAAACCTCAAACGAATCTTTGCAGCAAACTGTAACAAAGACTGCATCCACTATGCACAAGTGCATAATACAGACATCACACCCTTTTAAGTTTACAAATCAGAATAGGGGGGATCGTTTTGTTTTTTTACTTTTAAGTGCACTCTGAAGTTTCTAAAAAAAGAGGGTTGAAGAGTCATCACATGAATTCTAAACATTTATCAAACTAGTCAGTTATTCCTTTTAGTTTTTCAAATTTACAAAACAAAACCAGAATGGGTTTTTCAAGCAGCCAACCAAACCAAAGTAACCCATCAGCACAGAAAACTGTTAAAAGAGATGTTGATGGCTTGTTAGGTTTTGGGGTAGGTTGCAGAGAATTGATACTCTTTAGTCATGCTGATCAGAGTATTTCAGAGTGCATTTGAAGATACAGAGGCATTGCATGTGGGCAGGCATGTTGAATCTCAGCATCAACATTTTAAAATCCTGTTTTTAAAATCAAAGTTGACTGAGTAAGGCCACAGTGTCTTCATTCCCATGTAATACTAAGCTCTAAGATGCAAATCATGTTATCATGTTAGGTGACCAATTTTCAAACTAAGTAAATATTGAGTTTACATATTAAGCTAACCCTCAAACCAAACACTGATTTATGCAGAATGTGGAGGCCTCCCTATAGCAGCCATGCATTCCTGCAAAGAGACATGGTGCTTTAATGAATCATAGCCAGCTGCACATTGCACTTCTACACTTCCAAAAACCCTGACAGATAGATATGAGTTTGAACTGAACATCCTTTACGTGTGTGTATATGTGTGTAGGTATGTGTGTATGCATATTTATATAACTGTGTGTATGGATATGTGTGTATATTAACATTTTTTAAAAAGTGAGTATCAGAGTCACTCCTACACTAGAAATATCCAATGACATTTGGACTTTGTGAAAAATGTCAGGTACAAATAAGTCAGGTCCAGGTTACAGAAGCATGGAAATTAAATTTAACTTACATTATAATCTAATTAACATTAATTTTATTAAATATAGTGGTTTTCTTCCCAATTATTTAATGTCATAATTTGGCAGCAACTTTTGGTGGCCCTTTTGAGACTGGCTTGAGTTCCAGATTCTTTAATTAAGTGGCTTCGGAAAAAAGGTAAAGCTTGTATTTCTTGAGCTTTTGTGGCAAATGTGATGTAGTATAGAGTATAACATGCAGTTTTGTACTTCAGAGAGAGACATTTATGTATTGATGAGACTGCATCAAATATATTTTCAGAAAAAGACCAAAGACTAACTTTGGTCTTTCATGCTATTCATGCTAACCAACTCTTGTACCAATTAAAATATTTTCTGTGATTTTTCATGTATCAAAGAAATGAGATCTATTAAATACTGTCATCATTAAAAATTGCTATTTTCCAATTTAAGGATAATTATTTGTGCTTTATTATCATAGATAAAATAGTGTTCTTAAAATCTGTATAGTTTTCTTTACGTAACAGCAAAAAACTGGTTCCCCCCCCTCCCCAGTCAGTAGCAATATTCAATAAAGAGCACAACCTACTGAAACTTACCATCAGGAGCATACTTTGATGCTATGCCCAAAATAATTCCAAGTGCAATAAAAAATGAAAAGCTGGACATGGCAAAGCAAATAAATGTATTTTTGTGCCTATTCTTTCTGCTTGCTTCCGCTTGATAGCGTTGTCGATCTCCTGGAGAGGCTACTGTGGCACGAGCTTCCTGTCTTGCACAGGAAAATTTGGCTGAAGCTTGATTATTTGGAGGTGGTGGAGGACGAAGTGGGACAACTCTTCCTGGGACGTAACCAGATTTGTAGCTGCTTCCATTCTGTGCCTGAAGGAAGGAAGGAGAACTTCCCCTGGGACCAACGGTGTGCATGTTATACAATCACTATAACAAGAATAAGAAGGATTATTCAAGCAGCTGATGAAAGAATGGATACATGATTTTCAAAGAAAAATCTAAAATTACTTGCAATGAAAGGAGGCCCATCTTTTGTATAACATACCAAAAAAACATGAAACTAGTTTTCCAGTTTAAGCTGAGACTGACCTCAATTTATTTTTATATATATACATACGGAGATTTGTCAAGCAAATAAATGCATACGTTTGAGGAAACATGTTTGGAAATTTCACAAGCATTTAAACCATTTCAATCACTATATTCAATAACATAATATGACACACTATTGGGATGTTCTGTAAGTTAGCGATCTCCAACCTTTCTGGCTCCGTGGACCGGCAGTGGTGGCGGCAGTGGGGATGGTTTTGCACGCACATCCGCTTGCGCAATGGAGCTTTGTGCGCTCACCTGCTGCTTGTGTGGCCTGGTTCACAATGGGCCAAGGCCCCGTACAGGTCTGTGGACAGGGGATTGGGGACCCCTGCTGTAAATGCGTCCTTATCCATTGGCAGAGAAATCCATTAATGAACAGTTATCAAAATTTACCTCGTGTACCCTAAATTATATTAGGTTTTTCTTTGTCAAACTATTTAGAATGATGGCACAGAACACAAGGAGACTCTAGATTCTGAATACAATTTTATCTCAGCTTGTGATTTATTTAGAATATGATTGGTGCAAGTTTTAAACTTTGTATTTATTGTGGTACAGGGAGCCAAGTGTTAGATAATCAATACAGATTTATATTTTTTTGCCTTTCAGGTCATTGTAGACTTTTTTTATCTAGATATGCAAAAATAATTCAACAAATATTCAATTATGTTCAAAACTGGAATAATTAAAACATGATAAAAATTGGATTTGGAATATGAGAAAAGATTATCATAAATATGGATTATGATTGTGTGTATATTTATATAGGCGTGGCAGTTATTTTGGTCAGTGAAGATCAGAACAGAAGTCTAGTAATGAAACCATAAATCTTATATGTAAATTTTCTTTCAATTGCATGCTAATCTAAGAAGGTATTTGTGTCCCAGCTCATGAATAGATATCAGAATATGTAAATACTTTGCTTATATCAACTAGTTTACTGAATATTTTTCTTGAAGGCAAGAAAATCCTCATCATATATCAGTGAAATAGTGATTGATAATACCATTTTCTAATCTATTGTCTGGCTCGCTACCAAGCCATGAAAATAAGAGATTCTAATTATTTTATTGGTATCAAAATACAACAGTGTACTTTTTTCTTGACGTATTCTAATCACATATAACATTGTCACTTCAAATATTACTACTCTTTCATTCTTGATATCATTCTTGGTCTTTATGATGACTTTAAAAGTAAAGCGGATAAATTTGAATGTAAAATCATTGTTTTATACTGGCACACAATGAAAGTAAATAGCTCCCTTGGATTTTATCTAATCTTAACTTTTTAGATTCATCTACAAATCTACTATACCAACCTTGCCCATGCTTGTGCTTTCTAGATGTGTTGGCCTTTCTACTTCACTAATTTGCATCAGCATATAGTAGGCACCAGGAAGGTATATTTAAGCTAATTTGATATACCGGTAACATGTCTTCACTAAAGGTAGGCCATGCTTTATTGAAGAATACATAAAGCAGCGGTTCCCAACCTTTTCTATACCCCGCATCCCTAGAACGCTTCTGATATATTCTGGTACCCCTTACAAAAGTTCAAAATAATGGCAACAAATTATGCATATACACTATAATTCTGAAATTTCTAAGCCTAAGTTTTTGCACCCTGTGGAATATCGTCTCATACCCCTGGTTGGGAACCCCTGACATAAAGACTATATAAAGATCCTACTGGATTAAGGTGAAGTCCTATAGGAAACTAATCTTCAGAAACTTAAAAAATAGAAATGTTAGCAAGACTCCTTTCATTTCACAGCCTATCAGCAATTGAAATAGAAATAGGTTGACTCAATACTTGGAAGTTTCACAATACCAACAAGATGACTAGTCATAAATTATTGGATATATATAATCAGATCTTTTCAAATTTATAAACATGCAAAGACTTAAATTTTAAAACCTGCAGAACAGCAAGAACTATATGGCACCAGAACTCTCTCAATAAGCTACTTCCAGCTCCAGTTGATCCGTAAAATATATGCTGAAGCTTCTTTCTTTGTGTACACAACAGCATAAGATGATCACTCAATGCCTCTCACTTCATTAATTCATTCTGTTAAGCATCTGGGGCTAAATGTGTATATATATCTTTGTCTAAGGAGTGAGGACTGTTTGCAATAAAGTCTAACAGTTCAAGTATAATCATGCTTTATTTTTAATATCAAAAATGGCAGTTCAAAATTGCAATACATCAATATAGATGTATTAGGAAATATACCATTATGTTTCAACTCAGAGAAGACAATGTTTGTGAGGCACACACACAGAACAAAATAGTAAAAAGAGGTGCAATTTCCTTCCATATATAATCAGTTCAAGAACAATTTAAAAAAACCCTCAATCACTGGGACGGGGTGGATAGATGGAAAAATAGCTTATTCTGAAAGCAAATTATATGGATTATTCCTTTGTTTTAAGTAAGAAACAAAGTTGATATCAACAATTAATTGGATTGCATTTTAGAACTTTTAAAAATAATACAGGTTTAAGCTATGACTGCATGCATTTCTAACTGCAACATGTGCTGATAACACAAGTGTCATTGTATCCTGAAAAAAGTTCTGGAAATTTCTTTTTCAGAGCAAAGGTTCTTCTGGGGCTTTACAAAAAAATACAGCCTAATTCCCACTTTAAGGCTTTCAATCTAAAAGGTAACAAAGGGAACAATTAGTTCCTTGATTTTACCTTTTCTGCTATTCTTATTTGAATGCTTCAGTAGATTGTTCAATATTAAACTCTGATTTTCAAACACTTATCAAAAGAGACATGGTGCAATCAGACTTTTAACCTTCTTCAAATGGTAAAGTTGGAAGATTGTCAGTTCTGAAGAGTTTATTGCAAACAGCCCTCACTCTTAGACAAAGGTGTATATACACATTTAGCCCCAGATGCTTAACAGAATGAATTAATGAAGTGAGAGGCATTGAGTGATCATCTTATGCTGTTGTGTACACAAAGAAAGCTTCAGCATATATTTACAGAGTTTCTGCTAATGGAAGAACAATACAGCATCCCCCATGGTCATGTGGTCAAAATTTGGTGCTTGGTAACCGGAATATATTTACAATTGTTGCAGCATCCTGGGGTCATGTGACTGCTATCTACAATCTTTCCATCTGGCTCCTGACAAGCAAAGTCAAGGGGAGAGCCCAGTTCACTTAATTACCACATGATTAATTTAATACATTGATTCACTTAACAAGGCAAAAAGGTTGTAAATTTGGTGTGACTCACTTAACAACTGCCTTGCTTAGGAACAGAAATTCTGGCTGCAATTGTGCTTATTAGATTATCCATAGTCAATATTGTATTCTTTAAGAGGTACAGAAATTTCTTCCTTTCCAATGAGAATCCTTGTTCATTCAGCATCAGCTACTTGTAAATGTTTGAAGCACTTGTGTTAAAAATGCATTGTTTCAAGAATTAAGGATTCCTATTAAGTTTTAATTAATCAATTAAACTTTGTAGCCTATTTAGATAATTAAATTCTATGTTGACTATGCCGCATGCTGAGTGCAAATAAAAGATACTTTCAAACTAGCCTTTGGCTATAGTCTTAATTATGCCTTCACCCACAGCTTTTGTACCAATTAGCTTTATACTATCATAGTTAATGCCAGCATATTACACTATCACTGTAAAACTCATTTCTACATGTTACTGCCAGTATTATCTTTTATAATTGAATGAGCATGCTAACTATTAAAACTAGATAGGCGCCTATCTAATGCTTGAGTATTCCCACATGAGAAGAACATCTCAAAAGCTGTAGGAATAAGTTTTCCTTTTGCCTAATTTCATTACACTGAGTATTTTTACTTAGTTTTGGCTAGGAAAATTTTTCATTTTGTTTCAGCAAGAATGCACATGCCAGAAGTACCCACACACCATCTTGGCACAAGTAAGGAATGTAGTACTTTCCATTAAAGAATTCAAGATGTATTAACAGACTTTTAAAAGACGTAGCTTTTTGGCTCATGAGAACTTTCACTGTCTGTTGGATACAACTCTGTATTTCATACAGTTCAATTCTGTGCGTATAAACGCAGTGTCTAATAGAGAGAATTTTGAACAGTTCTATCCTTGGCCATCTCTTGGTTTTCCTAAAAGGATGTTAGAAAATGCATTTGTTTTGGCCATCTATCACTTTTCCCAAAATCAAGAGTGTAGGGCAGCTAATATCAAGCAAGAGCTTGTTTGAAGGCTCTCTAATTGGGGATGTTCTAAATGCTGGCAGGTCAATGACTTCCAAGTGCTCATATTGCTCCATAGCAATTCCATCCTGGAAAGTAGATGGCAGAGATGGCATTTTGGCCCTGTGACAATAAGCCATCGAGGGGACCAACCTGTGGGCGACATCCCATTTGCCATTCTTGAATAGTATATCATCTGCAATAGATGGACTGCCTACAACACACAGAACATGTGTATATGTATGAGTTTATGTATGTATGTATGAATGTATGTGTGTGTGCCTTTGTGTGTTTCTTATGTTGAGTTCCTTTCCTAGAGATTCTTGAGAGAAGCTACGTAGCCCAATCCAGTATTAGCCTGGAATTCTTCAGATGCGGATTACAACTTCCATCAATCCCACTTTGTATAGTCAATAATCAATGGCAAGTGGTATTACTATTGGCAATAGTCTACACCAGTTGTTCCCAATCAGCATGGCTGGCTGAAGAATTCTGGCAGTTGAAATCCACATGTCTTAAAGTTGCCAAATTGGGAATCCTTAGTCTACTCTATACAATTCTGGTATAGACAGGATTAAGCTGCATGGGTGTAAGACAATTCCTCCTCAGCAACAGCAGCTTAAAAGGATTTTCTTAACATAAAACACCACTTCTCCTCCAATTCATGTCAAAAGCACAAAAAGAAATTTAATATCTCCACTTCTACTCTGTGCGATGGTTAGTATTTAAGCTACAACCATCAAGACCAGAAGTTGATCCTCCATGAATTTGGGTAGACCCCTTTTAAAACCACTTAAGCTGGTGCAATCAATTGCGGCAGATTTAAAAGGACTTTCTATGATTTATCTTGAATCTCAGTTTCAGTAGATGACACCAAGATTTAATATTGAGAGAAGACAAAGAATTCTTTCCACATACCACATGCGTTTTCCCCCTGAGGTAAAAGCTGCCAATTCTAGTCTACATATTTTAATTTTCTAATAATTTCAGCACTCTTCTCATATTCCCAATGCCCTTCTTGAGTTCAGTGACCAAGTATATACACAGCATGTCAAGGTTCTTATAACAACATTATTCAATTAGCCCAATTAGGTGGGAGCACTTAGCTGACCTTCCATGAGCTCAAAAAAAAAAAGGACCCAATTATCTTTGGATGAAAAGCAAGAGCTTAAGTTTCAGTTCAAGTTTTAAACTTGAAGTTTAAAAGGCATGTCCAGTCTTTTCCCTCTACTGGAAAAGGCAGAAGGAAAAAAAGAGATCAACATCAAGGAGGGTGGACTCAGTTTCAGTGATGATAGCTGGACCACTGGAAGATCTGGAAGGTCAGGTTAGAGACCCACATCATCAGGGAGAAAACCCAAGTGTTGCCAAGAGTTGATTTGGGTTTGATGGCACATAATCAATCAACCAGTGGCCACAGCTGCCTGAGGTAAGCCACTGGTAAGGAATGTGGAAGCTGTAGACCACAAAGAGCTCCTAACTGAGGTGGAGAATTTCTAAAGAAAAGAAAGGGGGGGGGGTGAAGAAATGGCTTTACGTTTTTGTTCCACGTTCTTTATAAATAAATAAAAAAGTGAATTCTGAAATATTCTCGCTCCGCTAAGCAGTGCTGTAGGAGCAGCTGTTAGCAAGAAGCCAGACACCAACCACCACCGAGAAAATGGGTGAAAAGGCTGGAGTAGGGCACTCAAGAGAAGGGAGGACTGTCGAGGGGGTTAGCTTAACAAAACAGCCCTGGGAGAGAAGGGCAGCTCGTGGCCACCGCTTGCGTACAACAGGCATATTTTGGCCTTCAGCGAGGAGGAAAAGGGAGAGAGCGTGACCCCAACTCTGGGGTTGGGGGCAACTTTTTATTTTCTTCCTTCGGAGGTTGCAAGGAGGCAGGGCAGCTGCTCTGCATTTGAAAGAAAGCTCGCCGGATACCGAGCAGGCGCCTCTGCAGCCAAGGCGGGAGAAGGGCGAGAGGCAGGCAGCGAGCGAAGAAGAAGAAGAAGGAAAAAAAAAAGGTATGGGAGAAAAGATCCCGAGGAAGACCGAAAGAGCCCGGAGGGGGAAGGAGGCAGAGCGGGAAGTCCAGTTGGTGTGGCGGGGAGGGGGGAGGGGGGAGGGAGCCCAGAAGAGCTCTCCAGGAATGCGGGGCGCGCTGCTGCTGCTGCTGCTTTCCAAAAGATCCCGGAGGGAAGCGCCTGCCCAGCGGGAAGGAGGAAGGCGGCACTTACCGGGGCCTCGAGGACGGCGGGAGGAAGAGGAGACGGCGGGTAAGAGGAGCTCAGGGCGGAGGTGGCTGAGGCATGGTGTCCTCTCTCATACACCGCAGCCGCTTCTCCCAATGGCACCGAACCCCCCTCGCGCCCCGCTGGCGGGGAAACAGCCCTGCCCGACGCTCCGCCCAGTCGGCTGCAAGCGCCTCCTTCGCCCTCTTTCCGCTCTCCTCCCCGCAAGAGCATTTGCCCGCGTCTCGGCGGGACTCTGCCAGCCTTCCTTTCTTCCCTCTGCTTGGCGGGGTGGAGCCTTCCGCGACGTCCCTCCCCGGCTGTTGGGGGGGCGGGGGAAGAACAGAGGGAGAGCGGCGCCCAGGGAGGCTTCACGCCCTTCTCCTGGAAAGGAGTCGCTGTGGGCGGCGCGCGGCGGTTATGTGCGCGAGGGGAACCGCGATCGGCTTCGGGAATGATTTTAACACTCCGACCGTTCGCGTTTCCAGCTCGGAAGTGCTCGGCGTGTTTCGGTGTGTGTGGTGGGGGGGCTTACCTAAGCGCTCCTGGGATTGCAACGAGCGTGAAGGATGCACGGCCGATTCGGAAATCCTTAACCAAGCAAGAGGCACGGCCCGCTTTCGCCCACGCGCGTTGTTTTTTGCTGCTGCTTCCCCTCCGGCGAAACTAGATTTGCAGGGCTTTTTGAACAACGCAAAGCCTTGCAGCGACTTGCTGCTGAGGCGACGGGGAGATTAAAGATCGGAAAACATCCTCGCTTCTACCCAAAACAACACCTGACGCCTTTTGGAGCAACGGCGAGGCACACTGTGGCGCGTTAAGTCCGTTGACACGCGTTCCTCCTACACCGCCGTCGTCGCTTTTCACGTCGCCCCCCCCCCCCCCCGGGTTACGGGCTCCTTAAGACTGGAAGCGGCCGGGCGAGAATACAGCAGCTGAGAATAAATTGAAATAAACTGACCCCGTTGTCCGGTTTAATCGGAAGCAAACAGTTTCATTGCATTTAATACTTGGCTACTTGCAATGTGCTCGCGATTGTGGTGGTCGCCTTCCAGAGCCCTCAGAACGTGCGAAAGAACTGGCCAATCTTGAATCTACTCCACATAGTTAACAAAAGAGCTACTCATCTTCCACTAATTACTTAGTTTCTTTCTCCCGTCGCGGTGGTGAAAGCGAGCCCTTTTTTACACAATTATTTCCTCGCTTTACGACGGAAGGGTTTATTCCTCGAACGCCACTCGCTCCTTTGATTTGTACACGAAGCAATCGGAGCTTGCGTGAGGAGCCAGGAGCCCGTTAGCAGGACTGCTATTGTCCCTTCATCCTGTCAGATGGAGGCGACTGCTAGTTGTGAAGAAAATTTCGGTTACTGCAAGGCCGTAGACGAGGGCTTCCCCTCCCACAAGTGGTTTCGAGATAACCCTGTCATGCTACCGGTTTTGTGGTTGTTGCCTCTGGGGGCGCATATGGCCCCCCTCAACGACCTCCAGTTGTCAAATGGAGGAACTGTCACCAAACCGAGGCGGGTTTTCTTGAGTTTCTACAGAGAAACTAACAAAGAACAGGTTCTATTAGGATATTCAGGTCTAGTCAACTTCACAGCCACTACAGAATCCAGGACTTCTCTCTGTTTAGGGCAGGGGTAGGCAACCTCGGCTCTTTTATGACTCATGGACTTCAACTCCCAGAATTCCTGAGTCAGCTATGCTGACTCAGGAATTCTGGGAGCTGAAGTCCATGAGTCATAAAAGAGCCGAGGTTGCCTATCCCCTGGTTTAGGGGTACTCAAGAAAGCACCTTATCTCCTAACTATCCCAGCCCTGCAATAGTGAATGGCTCCACAGGAATTAATGCAGTTACTAACAAGCCCATAACCAGGTTTTGAAAATAGTTTTAAATCAAGGACTTCAATTGCAAAAGTAAAAAAAACATTACAACTGGATAAACCTGCGTTTGACTAATGTTCTATTCCTCCTATTCTATTGTTGATATTTTTAGGAATGGCAAGGTATTTTTTCATTTATTTTCTGAGTTGTTCCTTAATGAATTTAGTTTAACAAAGACCAACTGCACATATTGTGTACTTATTGTATTAACTTTGCCAGTATTTTCCTTATATATATTTAGTAGTTTTTGAGCACTAGTCATAGAATAGCCTCATGTGAATGGAAGGCCCCATGTTAGTTCAGTTCATGGCAGCCCAAAGCAGTCTTTTATCCTGTTGCTTCAGATCATTGGCTGCCACTGATTGGGATAGCACTGGCTTTTCCCTTTCTAGTTTACAGTGTAGGATGGCCAAGCAAAACAGCATAAGTTACTGTCCTAGGATTCCTTGATAAGCTTTCTAAGGTAAAATCCCCATAAAGACTCTGAAAAATACTGCCTTTAATGTAACAAAGTACTACTTGTATATGTCTACTTTCGGGAGCACAGAAAACAAATGACTTGCTTGGAAACATGAAGTTGTATCCTTGACTTGATCAGAATTGTTTTTACTGTAAACCGCCATAAGTCAATTTATCTGAACTAATAACATATTATACCTAAAGACCATGAATGGATGAAGTTAGTGGATATCCATGCAGTTCCTCAATAACTGAAATGAAGAAATAACTTGGGTTCTCTTTTTAAAGAGAATGTTAGTATATATGACTTATTCTCCAGTGTAACTCTACACAAGATCGAGGATGATTAAAAAAATCCATTTGTCCTTTGTCATTTGCTCAACATTTTGTTTGCTCTTGATGTTCCACATTGACACTGAGCAGAAAAACGATCAATAACCCAGCATATATTTTCCAAAAATCTATTTTCTTTGAATTGATATTCATAATTCAAACTGATGCCAATTATTTAGACTAATTATCTTAAGTTTAGATAAATAGATGTATTGTTCTCCTTTAAAAAAGCAGCAGTACAAAAGAGGCATTTTTCCTTAATAGCATATAAAGTCAGTTTCAGTTTGAACTGAGGTCATATTAAATGTTATAATAGATACCCTTATAGATACAACAAAACAAAGAGTTGTTCTTTAACAATGAAATAGAAAATGCATTAACCTATTATATAGTGGAGGGGAATGCTGCATTTCGGATAGCTCTGAGTTTTTCAAATATTTTAATATATTTCCACATTCAACATATCATATAATATGTACCCTTAAATTATATATGATTTGTTTGTTAAATTAGAGCTATCAAATAAAAGGTAGAGGGAAATCTAGGCTCAATAGATAGTTAAATACAGTTCTGTTCTATGAACAGTATTGTTTGTTCACCTGAAAATACAAAAGCAAATAAGGTTACATACATGAAGAAAAAAAATACCTAGGAAAAGTCATAATACAAACAACTGTGAATGTCAGAAACAAGCCTCTGAGACAAAATGACTTTATAAAAAGTCTGAACTCTCAGTTACCAGAATCATATATATTCTGTAATTGTGAAAATCAGACTGTATGATTTAAATAGACTTAAATTTAAAATACATTGTAGAATAAAGTATTTTAATGCTTACCTCGATGATAGCATGTATATATGAAATAAGGAGAATGCAGAGACCTGAAGCAGACTTTTAGTTGTTTGTCTCTATATGGGTAGTCAACAATGGAGCAAATGGTCCTCCTTGCTTTCAGAGAATAAATATCCAGGCTTGACACTGGTACAGGAAAAGCATTATCTCTCAGATTCTGTGTTCAGGATGTCATGCCAAACTCTTATTTTTCTGACTTAGAAAAACAGGAATTGTCTCATGTGACACCCTGGTGTGAGCCAAATATTATGATTTTTCAACCATTAGAATCACGAGCATTTCCACCTTTGCTAATTTTACTTTTCAAGGTTAAGTGACTTAACAGCGTAATTTAATGCATTTTTATTGAGAGTCCACTAAGTTACATAGAGCTTATTCACATTCAGCACTGACGATGTTACCTAGTTTGGGTAATGAAACGTCTGCAAGAAAACCAAGCTCAACGACCCCCCCTCATTCACAGATAGGGCCATATGCAAAATCCAGCTTTCTTTACAAATATCTTCTCCCTTAATAATAATGCAATTACTGTGGTCAAGTAGGCACCCCAAGGGAGGAAGAAAAGAGATAATGGAGTTTCTTTTCTATGGTAATAAGCAGGGGTGTCAAATTCATGTGACGTGTCGCGACGTATCCTGACTTTTTGCCATTGTCGGCAATGGGGTGGGCGCAGTTTCACCATGACGCATCCGGCCCACTGGCCGGCAGTTTGACACCCCTGGTATAAAGCAATAATATGCTTTAAAATAATCTAAAGCCAATGTTGCTTCCAGCATCAGAAAATTTACTGTTGTAGGAGACGCTTTGTCTAAGTGAATGTTAAAGTAACGTGACAAGAAAAACCCATATTCTGAATTATTCTAGTTTTATAAACTGTTGTGTCAAATAATTTACCACATTTTTATCTTCATTATAGTTCCTTATAAGACATTATACCACATTATGACATAACATCCAGTAACTTCTGCATTGGAGTGTATAGCCCATGGTAAAACATGTTTTTCTTCCACACCATATTCTTCGGATACAAGAGCTATATTTTAATTCATATTCTTCTGTATTGCTTGCCCAACAATCTTATATAAATAAAAATGTAAATGCTCGTTTGTTTAAAATCTTAAATCTCCGAAAGTTCTTCACCGATTGCTTTGAAATTTTGACACAACGTTGCATTCGAATACGCGCATTTTTATATACCTATATTATATAGATGTCACACCTGTGACAGGTAAAAACATGCTTTTTTTGAAAAACAGCACCATCTGTTGGACGTAAAAGCAACATACGCTGTTACCAGACTGAGCCACAGCAACGCGTGGCCGGGTACAGCTAGTACAGCAATAAAATGCATCTGAGTACCGATGGCAGGAATCTCAAAGATTTTAATGACATGGAGTCCCTCTTGACCCTTTCAGTTGTAACTAAGAAATATATAACCTATGTAATTATAATTCCACTAATCCATGGATGTAGATTCTAGATTTTTTTTTTAATTTCCAATTTGAAACATGGCAAAATAATCATTGGAAAGGTAGCATATCCTGCCCTAACCAAAGGCTAAAGCAGGGGTGTCAAACTCGCCACGTAACAT